CAACCATATATATGTTTAATTTTTCTGATATCAATTTAATTTCAATCAAAGTAATGTTTTATTGTTAATGCCCGCGAATAATATGAATTACTTATGAGAATAATTCTTACCAAAACGTGCGGTTCATATTCATAATGTGACGACATGTACATATAAGCCTCACAAGAGAATATTTTTTAATATCACCATATATATGTTATGTTTGTTTGTTGTAGATGCTACTCTACAACTGCTGTGTGGAACTGTGGGTAATGTGATTTCAACTGTAACAACCAATAGCCAAGGAATCTTTTCAATCTTGTTGGATCCTCTACAATTTCTCCTCTCTTCACTATTGGCGGATTGCAAGCTGATGGTGAGGACACCGCTCTCCGCCTGCAACTCTTCATTGACCGGGCTTCTGGCATCCCCCTTGCAGTTTATCGGAAACACCATTTCCGGTCTCCTCAACATCGTCAACATCATCCCAGGCGGCTTCAACCTCATCAATTAAATAGCGTATAGAGTAATAATTAAAAGAATAATATAGCAACTGCATGCAGCAGTTTGCTTCTTTATTTGTATGTATTTGATATCAATAAGGTCAATTAAGGATGTAATTCCTTTTGACTATACCTATAGCTAGTTGGTTTCGGGTTATTAATTTGTCTTCCAAGTAAATCTGTTATGAAATAACGCAGATTTTGGGATTCGAATTGTATTTCCATTGGTGGCCATATTATTTTCAAATTATATACGTTTTATTATTTTCAATCAAATCTCCCTTCCCTAGCGATAGTAAATATATATTCTAAGTAATTGTTGAGGCCTAAAAAATCTCAAGGAAGATCCGTGCATATTTTTAAGCTCAATTCATTATCGTGCTATAAAAGAGACACAGATGCCCTTCAAATACGACTATTAAGTGCCTAAACAAGTTTTGATATTCGTGTCGTACCAAGCAAGACTACAATTTGGCACGTGGGGAGGTCACCATACGGGTTTACTAATTTCACATGCAAACCTGTAAAGTTGAACAATGTTGCTCGAGCTCACCCAGCCCACTGCTTCGTCAAGCATTATCTAGCGCAGCCCCTAGCCACTGTAATACAACGTAGTCCAAGCATAAGCACACAAATAACATGTCATGCCAATCGACTCCCTTTAGTGCCAAACCGCCTGACAAGTTTAAGTGAGCCCAAGCCACATGCATGCCTAAGGCTTGTTGAGCGAGTTGTGGTATGGATGGGTACGAGGGTCCATGTTAAGACCCGTATTTTAAATAGATAAAAGAAGATGTTTATCTTTTGGATAAACTTGGACGATATTATCTTTTTAAGATATTTATCTTTGAGATAAACTTGAATGACCTTATCTTGTTAGGATATTTATCTTTTAGATAAACTTAGATGTTTTTATCCTTTTAACATTGAAGTTTATCATATCCCTATAACCACTATAAATAGAAGCATAACCTTATAGTTTCAAAACATGATAAATGAGAGAGAGAGAGAGAGAGAGAGAGAGAGAGAGGGCCTAGCTATTGTATTTTCTTAACTTGGATTATGCTTTGGAATCTAGGTAGGGGTTTCTTGGGGGCCTTTATGGGGATTAATCTAATTAAATTTCGTGAGCTCTATATTATGTGTGATATTGTATAATGTTCTAGATATATGATATTTACGTATTGTGAACTATTTGAATAATGTTGGCATAATTATACCATGTCATGATAATTGGTTAGAGTTGTTGGATTGAGAAAATAATGATGGAAAAGAGGGTAATGGAAATAGTCTTTTGTGTAGTTGAGTCTGACCATTATAGGGACCAAGTCCAGGCAAGCCTGTGTGCACAGTCGATTAGGAAATCGGCGGTATAATTGTCGATTGGGTGATTTGGGCTTGGAGATCAATGGTGTAGACAAGACGACTAACAAAAGGGGAATTATGGGATGATTGAAATGGGTGTTAGTTCATATAAATGGGCATTCGGGACCAAGTGGTATAAGCATGGTATGGGACGTGCATGTCTGCTTGTTCAGTTATATGAATTAACATGAGTAGATGAAGAGCATTTATGCATTATTATTAATAATGTGATATTTGGCAATGTGATTGTATGTCACTTAATTTAATTATATCAATCTACTGTGGTAAGGTCTCATGTCCCTACTGAGCGGTGGTTGCTCACCCATTACCCTGTTTAATTTTTTAGATGAATTAGTGGGTAAGACAAGGACTAAACCAGTTGAGGCTGAATTAGATGAGAGTGATAGAGCTTTATTTATTTATTGTAAAGTTGTAATATTTTGAATGTATTTTTATAAGAGAATTTTAAACCATGTTTCGGCATCTTTTTATTTTATTTTAGTTTTTATTTTCTCACGCACCGGGCTCAGGGTTTTAGCCAACCCACAGGTCCCAGGCGTGACTATCCATAAAGCCCATTGAGGTTCAAAAGATGGGGGTTTTGGGCTGCTTGGGAGCAAGAAAACCTAAGTCCACTTTCTTGAGCCCAAGGCATGGGTAAGTAAGAGAGAAGTTCCAGCACCCTTTCCCTTGACATCAGACCAATTTTGCCCAATTCAAACTAAAACCCTTAAAATCCAGTTTACATAAATATCTAGGGTGATGAAAGAGATAAGCCTCAACCTTTCCATTTGACTATCACTTTTACCCATCTTTACCCTTATGAGCTCATCCATGAAAAGAGAAAGGAAAGTCCAGCTGCAAGAAGGTTTTTGGGCCCTAAAATGTTTTGTCTCAATAGCCATGGATTCAACTTATTTTAGGAGATTTCACTTATTAAGGCCATATTGGAGAAAGTGAAAGGAAAGAATGGAGAAGACTTGGCCAATTGAGAAGAAACCATTTAGGTTTTTTGGGGTAAAGAGGAGTTCTAGTGCCTATAAAAGGGGGTTATATCCTACCCAAGAAATGGGACTAAACTGAACCAGAGTAGTCGAGCAAGCTTATTCTTTAACTACTCAAAACATCAAGCCCAAGCACCTTCCCTTCCATCTCCTTCTTCTCTATCCTAAAAAACCCAAAGCAGGAGCATGCATACTCTCTTATTACCAGAAGCACCAGATTCAAGCTATAGTTCTTCCATCTTCTCATTCTCTCTCTCTCTCTCTCTCTCTCTCTCTCTCTCAAAAAAGGAATATTCTATATATGAAACAACCCATCCTTTCAAGCCAAACTGAAATCATGGTTATCACCTTCTTGGTGAGAAAATGCAAACATTGTAAGCCCATCTTCTAGCTGTCGAAAACACCTAGAATCGCAAGCTTTAATCCCTCCATTTTACTCCTTTTGTCTTAGAATACCATGCCAAGCCCTAAACATCACCCAAGCATTTCTACAAATCACCATCTTAAGATTCAAGCATCATAATTAACTTTCTCTGTTTCAAGAAATTCATTCAAGCTGGTGCAAACAATTCCAGAGCTGCTAGAAGACTACAATTCCAAGCTTTTCCCTTTCCAACTCGCTTTCTCTTTTGCTAAACTTATGGGCTCTTAGCTCCCACGCCACAAGCCTCTTATGCCAAGCTTGCACAACATCAATGCAAAATCTCCAACTCTTTCCATAGTCGCTGAAAGCCCATCCAAACAAGTAGTAGCTGTTGGAACACCTATCCCATTGTGTCTCAAGCAAAGCCCTTTCAGCGTCTGCTCAACTCTATCGTCAAGCAATGTCCTTACAACAACTGTTGTATCCTTCTCATCAAAACTTGCAATGTACTAAGAAGCCATTGAAGAAGACCAAAGCACTCCCTAAGGCTTCAAATCTTTCGATGTGTTGAAGAATAACCTTCAAGAAAGTGACTCCCCTCTACAAGAGTTGAACGATACTTCATAAGGGCAATGAAGGCAAATAGGGGCAAGAAAGTGAGACTCCCCTACAAGAGTCGAACAATACTTCAATAAAGAGAAAGAAAAGTAGGCAAATAGGGCAAGAACGGGTGTAATTAGGGCATGGTGCCAAAAAAAACTCAGACATGGGCGCAAGAGAACTTGATCCACTTCACAATAGTCTAACAAGCCCATTGTAGCTCTCAACAAAAAGACCCCAACAATAATTAATAAAGGTGATGTTTGAAAACTTGTTTTCAATTATACCTACGACATATTTCGAAATACTTCTCTAAAAATAAAAGGTATGCTCATAAACGTTTTTATTAAAAATTCAAGTTTTTTTATAACTTAAAAATACTGCTAACTTTTAATTACCTAAAAGTGGTTCTAGCACTTCCAATCATTTCTCTTTGTCACATCTAAAGACAAGGAAATAAACAAACATGTATAGTGTTTATTTTCCTCCAAATCATACAAATGAAATGAGCCTGGACTGGGTTGATTTTTCTTTTTTTACAAAGAGATATTTTAAATTACTTAACTAACTTACCTAACTCACGCCTGCACTCGGTCGACCTTTAATATAATAAACTTGAATGAGATTGGGCTCACAAAAACTTTGCCCTAACCCTGCCCATATAAAAAGCAGGCTAACCAGATGACCCAAAGATATTCAGGTTAGTTGGGCTTAGCCCATAAATTTTCTTCGTCTCTTTTTAGGCAAATCCCGTAACCTAATTTCTTGATTATCCCCACCATTGTATATCCATTGGTGGCCCTATTATTTTGAAATATTCTATCTCAAAAAGATTTTCCCAGGAAAAGATGCGTTGGAACTTGGATATACACGCAACACAAGTGTCCTCCACCAACCAACTCACCGTAGTGTCGTTCTGAAACCAAAATGAGAAATTTAGGTTAGATTTTAGAGAGGATTTTATTCCTAACCATAGACATTAAAATATATAAAAAATAAATCAGAGAAACGTAACAGCGTTGCACCCACGTGTCAATGACTTTACAGCCTTCACCCATTTACACTGTCTATATATAAAGAAGGCAAACACAAACCCTAACCCTTCTCTGCGCCACCACCCCAAAGAGAGCCCACGAACAGAAGGGAGAGGAACATCACCTCACTTTCCCTTTCTCCTTCGTTCTCATGGCTTCTCTGTTATACAACAAATCAAATCCACTGGCTTCCTTTCTCCCCAAAACTAAGCTCCTTATCCAACGGTGCGTTTTACTCTGTCTAGTTTTTGTGTTTTTGTTTTCTTTTTCTTTAGAACTAAATAACAATTTTCGTTTTCAGTTTTGTTCTCTTTTTATAGTAGTTATTTAAATACATGACCTCGGGTGCAGGGATAACTGTTCTTAATTGTGGTGAAACAGGCGTTGTTACGCAGCTGCGTCACATGGGCCGCTGCCAGCTGCATTGGGCAAGGGAGGGTCCAGGAGCTCTATGGTAGAAGAGCGGGTCGTGAATGCTGTGAAAGAAGAATCTGGGCTTGGCTCTTCATCTGCGTGGGCCCCAGATCCCCTAACTGGATATTACAGGCCCTCCAATTGTTCGGACGAGATTGACCCGGTGGAGCTCCGAGAAATGCTGTTGAAACACAGAACGAAGTGAGCCCAAGCCTACAACAGTGACTAGCAGAACAAAAGATATGTGTAGGACTTGGATGTATCATTATGAGATCATTGTGGTGCCCTTGGCATTAAGGGTTTTTAATTAATTATTAATCCTGATTATGTGGGCTCAGAGCACCAATCCTTGTAGTTTAGGAGTTGTCTTTTGGCCGATTGTGATGCAGTGATATTCTTTTTCCTTATCGGATTTTCCTTACCCGAGGTTTTTTAAGGTAAGGTTTTAATGAGGTCACATCACCCGTATCTAATTTTTTATTATTATTTTTTTCAGTACTTATGAATTGCTTTAGGTAGCCATCTCCTTGTTGGAATGTGCTTGTGTCCCGACTTTCATGTGGTCACTGACAATAGTTCAGAACAAATAAAGTTCTACTTCTATTCGGGAAAAAAGCCGAGAGTTACGGTTGTGGGTTAATATTAGCCTATTATAATAAATATAATAATTAATAATATTGTTTTGTCTCTACTCTTCCTCTTCATGTTGGTTTAACCACACTAATCTGTGTTTACATAAAATAATAGGAATGGATAAGAAAGAGGAACTTTGTGTGTAGCTAAAGCAGCAACTAAAAACAAAACAAACAAAAAAAGAGGGATCCGACAATAAATTTAATTAGTGTGCTAATTGAGGAGGAAATTTACAAGCACTAGGCTTTGGAACCTGGAAAAAGCTTTGATCCTGATCGTGTAAAATAAAGGTGGAGTAGAGTAGCCTTCAATTCCGATTCTTTTTCCCACTCTGATATGGAGCTCAATTTCATATCCGAAATGCCAACATGATTTCATGGTTTAATATCACATATGGTGCCCTGTGATTTCAATTTTCTTAAGCGGTTATGTGTTCGAGTGGTTAAGAGCGATTACTTTTGCATATGAGATCTTGTATTTAAATATCCTCCTTGCATTACACCTTGACACGAATGTCCCCCAGCACAAAATTGACAAAAATTACCTATAAATGTAGATCACAATGACTCTTCAAAACATACCTATATTAACTTGCATGACAAACCACAAGAATCATTTGTGATTGATTTGGACATAAATTCATTCGTAGCCTTTTACCTATTCCTTTGAATCTAATCCAGCATTTTTTTCTTTGGAGTTTTTTTTTCTCTTTTTGGTAGCATTCATAATTGTTTACACAATTTGTTTTGTGCATTATTGAATGTCAATGCAAAACTAGTGAAAAATATAACCTAATTATGCATTGCACCAGCTGTAGGGGATAAAAGTCCAAGCACTTGGGTCGGGTCCACAATTTCACATCCATGTCCATATATATATGGCTTGCGGGGACTCTGTAAAAAAGAAGAAGGAAATCTAAAGCCCACCCATGGGTTAAAAGTACAAGTACATGGCCCGGGTCCACAAATTATTACTCTTTTCTGCGTTCTGACTTCTGAGTCAATAAACAATGACCCACATGAAAGCTGTCCTTTTGTAATTTTGGAACTCTTGCCCGTCTCATGATTTTTTCACATTTTTTTCCTACTTCCGAACAATATTCTTTTCACTAGAAAGGGGAAAAAAACAATAACATCTTTGTTGGTTTCCACATCCCACAGTCGATGTTAGGTCAAAAATTGTTTGGATTAAAAAGTGAGTTCCATATCCATATTGTATGTTAAAGTATGTAATAATTATTAAAGATCTGAGATTGAGAAGAGACTTTTCAAGCTCGAGAAATAAAATCATGCCAATATCCAAATTCGAGTAAAACACAACATTCTAAAGAGAAATTTTTTAGTGTCACGATAATTTACGTGTTATGATATGAATAGATGTCAGGGTTGATATGTCTTGAATTTAGGATATAACTTTAATAAATAAAGACAGATTATAACATATGTAGAGTAATAATATCGTGTGACTGTGTGACCGTCACACCAAAAATGATAATTCTACTCAAATCTCACTATCAAAGCTCATTATAATAGGGCGTGATATAGGTCAATGCACAAAGAGAAGTGGTAAAAAAAAGGACCAAATTGCTTGTGTGCATGGAGGAGGCTTAAACCCATTTTGGAGACGCAAGGTTGATATATAACATACAAAGGAATATAAATTGATGAGAGACAAAACTCATTTCTCAAGTCTGCCTAGGGAGCTTTAATAATGAGGTGCTATGTTGAGGAGTTATAACGAAGGAGTTTAATCCAACAGTCCAATAATAACTCTACACATGATCGAACAACTAATAGGTACCTCATCATTATAACCCGTCGCTACGCCAAGATCATATTCAAATTCCCCCTAAAACCCCATATTTACTTAGATGCCATCCAAATGACCCATTCTACCCAACCAAACCAACAAATCCCACCACACCCAATCAAGCAAGAGTTAACCCATGTACCCATCCAGTCAAAGAACACTTGGCATCTCCCCATAGGTTCCCAAAAATCCCTCCCAAATTGCTTTGATATCAATCCCTGAATGTTTAGGACATTTAAACAACCAGGGTGGAAGGGGGACCCCCCAGAATTAATTAAAGTATATTTTGTCAAAGGGATCATCATAAGAAAATTTTCTTTAGTCCAGTGTAGTCCAAAACCAAATAGTGCTGGGGATTCTCTAACATGGGCCACTGTGATTTTGGAGCTTACAGTTTGTCCAACACCAACCAAACATGTGTATGCATGTGACAACTGAAAGCTCACAAGAAGCCACACATGCAATTTATACTTATTAAGAAGAAAGAAATTAATACTCATATTTCTTTGCCGTAACATTAACATCAAGGTCCAAATTACCAAAAATCAAAATCAAAATCAAAAGACTAAAAAAATACACCAAATCCCAAAAACAACAGAAGAACAGATAAAGATGGTCAACATCTGCACTTCACTATAATAAAATAAAAAAACAGTCCTCACTGTGCAAACACAAGAAATTGTGGCCATGAAACCAAGAGACTAATTAAGATTTAAGATGAAACCCAATGTGTTACATTACTAATGGAATTGCAGACCACCAAATTAAGATAAATAAACACAGGGACTAGTAGAGTAATTAATAATAAACAGGTGGGTAATTTAAGTAATTTAATTAATTAACAGAGTTTAATAATGTGTATGATGAAAATGGTGATGAAGATCAACCTCTGACTGATAGCAAGGAAGGAATGGCATTCAGGTTGGGGGTGGTGTTCTTATCTGAAGCTTGCCTAACTATATCTCTCTTCCCATCTTTCGAAGAAGGCTTGGTGAAGGCTCTCATGGGGCTAGCAAAAGCCCAGCCCCAGCTCCTGCTGCGGCCATGGACGAGCTGTCCTTCTGCAGAAGACGAAACCCAATAAGAGGAAGACGATGAAGATGAAGATGATGATGTCATCATGAACCCACTGAAAATCCCACCACATTTCACTCGCTCTTTCATGCAGTGACTGTTGTTGTGCTCTCCGTGACGGTGGACGCTGGCCTTGGGCTTGCCTTCTCTCTGAGACTCGACCCTTCTGAGAGTGCAGTCGCCGAACCCAGTTGAGATCCGCTCGAAGAAGTCACCGGAGAAGCTTCTGCTGCCGCACCCGACGGATCTGGATCTCGATACCTTGCGCTCGAACGAGGAGGCCGAGGCAGCAGTGGCTTGGCTGCTGTTGGGGCTAGCGCTATCGTCGTCTGCTGCAGCTGCTGCGTCAACCGCAAGGTGTTCGCTTTTATTCCTCAGAGAGGACGACCCCAAGCATTTGGAGTCCTTCTGCGCGGCTGACGAAGAGAAGGAAGAAGAGGACGAGATCTTGGACTTGTCGATTGCTTTCTTGTTCAAACTGTTTGATGAGGACGATTTGGCAGACGAGTGATAGAGAAACGACCAAAACCCACCTCTCTTTCTGGGGCTAAAGTCCTCAGAACCATCCAGGAAATGGTGGGCTCTTCTTGGGGTTGTGGTCGATTTGCTTCTCTTGAACACGACATCAGCCGCCGCTCGATCGGAAGACGCAGCATTAGAAGTAGCAGTGCTCACTTTCTTCTTCTTCTTCGCCAAGAGAAACGAAATCCTGGCTCTCCTTGTGTTGTAGAAGTCATCTTCATGACGATAATTGTTACCAATATTGCTTCTAGGTTTTGCACAAGCTGAGGCTGGGTGGGCTGAGAGGGAGAGTGAGAGAGAGGCAGCAGAGGAAGAAGGACCAGCAGCAACACCATTGCCATTATGAACACCACCAACATTGACAGTGTCAGATCTAAAAGAAGGGGAGGAAGAAGAGGAGGCTGAAGCATGAATGGGGAGAGGGAAAGAAGAAGACACAAGCTTCCCAAGCTTCTCTTGGAGGCAGAAAGCACAGATCCCTCCTGGGTTGTTTCTGTAAGGATGGTCACTGCACTGCATCCCATCTCCCATGTCTTGATCTTGAACTTGAACTTGATCATGATGGCCCACCACGCCATTCACCCTCCCTCCTCCTCCTCCCTTGATGCCTTCCATCATCATCATCATCATCAAACTTGTAACCAAAACCAAATCTTTGTGCTCAACTAGAGATGGGGTGTTTGATATTTTTGCATTATTTTGGCCGGAGAATAATGGGTATTTGTTCTTTTTTGTTCTCTGGTTTTCTGTGCTTGGGAGAGATGGGGTTTGAGAGGGGGAAGCAAACAAAACAGAGAAAAGGAGTAAGCAGAGATGGTCAGAGGTTGTAATTGAGTGGGAGAAAATAATTATATGATGGCATTGAAGTAGGGCTAAGCTTGTGGAGAGAGAGAGAGGGAGAGAGTCCCCAGGAGCACGTGGAAGACTGACTTCTCCCTATAAGCTTAAAAAAGTGTGTAAAAAGACAACCATAACACTTAAATATTTTTGCAGACAGCCCAAGCAGAAGAATCTGTAAAAGACTATGTACACTAAACTCAACCCCTCTCTAGTTCTCTACTCTACGTTTGCACTTTGCACGGATTCATTTCTCTTTTTCTGCTATTATATTAATCTATTTATTTTCCTTCTTATATTTATTTAACAATTTTAATTCCAAGAACAAAAGCTTCTGCAAATTTATAGATTCCACCTCCAATGCTATGGCGTCGCAGGCTTTGCTGCTGCCACTACGTGTCCTGCATGTCCCCTCTCCACCTCTCTAGCCTTCGCTGCCTCACGCGGCGCTTTTACTTATACTTGCACTATATTCAATATTTTCTATTATTATATCCCACTATTTACAACTCCTATAACTAAATTTGTTGAGTATTAACTTTAATTTACAGCAGCTTAAATTAAAGAAAGTAATCAAACAATCACTTCAACTCTTCTGTCTGCGAAAGAAAAAGGGTGTATCAATTTCAATTTGTATCATTGTACAAAATTAATGGGGAATTCCATATAAAAGACAAGACGAGTATAGACATGACCTCGAGTACAGAGATAACTGTTTTTAACCACTTAAGTTACAAATTCATTATGAGAAATAGATTAGGCATATAAAATTTGCGTACGGTTTCATTTTCAGTTAAAAAGAAAACTTTAGAACATAATGTTGTAATTAAGAACACCTGTCGACTAAATTAAACATGGGATTTGTTGTGTTCATCTACCCGGGGGAAGATTCATAATGCTTAGGGCCCCAATGTGTACATGGCTACAAGGGTTGTGAAGTAGACAAATCAAAGATGGAGCATGGACAGTTTATTAAATATGTTAGTCGGCCTGAAGACAGTCAGTCGTCCACGAAATATATGGATCCCACGTCGATATAAATTAATTTCCGCAGTTGGGATCAGCTACAGTACTACACTTCACACGTGGTTGTGCATGCATGCCTATATACAATGTGTTATATATTAATGTTGGCCACCAGACAATGAGCTTTCCGAGCTTTTACTAGATGTGGTCTCTAATGTGTTCCTTAGGTACAATTTTACCGTACTAAATCACTAGGCCCTTGTGTTTTGATTTGACATCAAACTTATGGAGATTAATTAATGTGTAATGTTACCCTTATGATCCCATATGATATTTTTTCATAAAATGAATTCATAACACTTTATGTATTCAAGCAATATGTCATTTCGAGTATAGTTGAAAAGATCGGTTATGTGTAAGTTTTTAGTATCGTAACTGAGTTTTCGTACAAAATTGATATTTATTTCTTACGATAGTGATCCGAGAGTTTTGTTAAAATCGAATTCGATAAACTGAAAATGAGGGATCAAATTATCATTCTGGATTGAGCTTTTTCTATTACCGACATGGAGAACAAACTAATGAGCAAAACCTGGCATAGGGTTCCTTCTTTGCTGTGATTGTCTGGTGCAAGTTCAATTTGGTCGAATTTTTCTTGGTTAATTAATTGATTGATAACCAACTCACAGTCCACACAAAAACTCACACACACAGAGAGGCCACGGTGATAGCCATAAGATAAGACCATACATTACAATGCAAACAGATTGCATTTTGAGACAGGACAATGAATATGTGACATGATTAGATTAGAGAAGGCTCTCTCCAGCTGAACCGTCCCCATCCACCTGGATTTCTCAAGACCCTTCATCTATCAGTAAATCTACATCAGTATCAGATGATCTGCCCCACTCATTCAGTCCAAATCATCACAGCCGTCCATCATCACTTCGTCTTCAACTGTCAACTCAGTGACATCCAAATCTTTCTTTCTGTAGTGCTCACCCTAATCCCACGGTACTAAAATAAAACTATTATCAGATATAATAATAACCTTTCATTTTGTTTAGTTCTGTGATATTTTGCTGCTTCTTTCTGAGTCTGCAAAACAAAAGAAAAAACTTATAACGAAGATAACATTATTTTGCTATTCTGACTAATAATACAATAACACGCGTTAATTTCGCGAAAATCTCTCTCATAAAAAAACACTACAAACTATAGACAAAGTGGTTATAAAGTAGTAATATTTTGGTGACAAATAAGACAAAATATTTGTCGTTCTAAAATGACTTTATGGGGCCCAATAGACAGTAGCCTAATACCCCAGCCATGCTACAAAATATTAACATACAGCTTGCAGCTTTTCAATAATGGGTTTGTTTACTTTGCAGTGGTTCAGCAGTCGGCAAATCGGCAGCAAACTCCACACTTGGCAGTCGTCTTCTGGGCCGTTGCTTTTGCTATGATTATTGAAGGAGGATTTAGAAATAATTTTATTTCCAGGTTTTTGGTTTTGTAAATTGTGTCTGAATAGACTGCTATAATAGCAAAAAAGTTGGATAAGATGGTAACCGGAAAGGGCCTCAGACGGACAAAAAAGTCCAATTATTATTGATTCTAGTTTACCCATGTCACAGTCCAAACTAAAAATCAACCAAAATTGAGACTCCTAATAATGCATATGTATTAAACAAATTGACGGTTTTGATAACAATTAAGATCTTCATGATAAACCGTTCATTTATTTAACATATACGGAAGATTCGTTAGCTTAAGAGATAAATATTCAAATAGTAATTCAGAAAATGAACGATTTTAATTACGACATATGTACTTGAAGATTCGTTAATAATAACTTGGATTAGATGCGCAAGAAGGTCCACCCAAAAGTATTGCCAATTATGCAATGCATAATAATCGCGGGGGTACTATTTGGGTTTTGAGGCTTTGATTGGGGATCATAATGTCAGTTGGTTAACCTAATTCTACCTTTGGCAGTTGAGTCTCGTCAATTTCAATTTAGCTACTGCTTGCTTGCGCATCAAACTGGATGTGTACAATTATATAATATTAAATGAATTATTTATTTAAATAATCCTTAAATTTATACTCGAGTTGTATTTTAATTACTCAATTAAATTATTTGTTCAAATAATTTACCAACTTTATATTAATCGGTAAATTGTTTTTACCGTTACATTTCATCAATATTACCGTTAATTTTAGGGTTAAAATCGTCAATTTATATTAATTTATTAATTAAAATCTATATAAAATACTATAAAAATCAATTTTATATGAAATGCCCAATAGTAAAAATAAAAGCCCACCATGACCCTACCCCCACCTCCATCCCTGCAACCCACCCTACCCCCCCAATCTTTCTTCCTTCCTTTTTTCAACAATCAAACATAGCTAAATTACTAAATAAAACAAACAAAAAAACCAAAAATTAAAATATTCGTTGAAACCCTTTTCACACCAACACCCTTGCGAGCAATTGGGGTACCTGGAGAACATGGCAATGAAGGTGATGATGGAGGCGAATGAGAGAAAGAAGATGCAGAGGAGTAGATGCTTCTAAGGCCAGAGGCTATTGGTGGTGAGGACAACGAATAAGGATGGGTTCTGTTATAGTGAGAACTTGGAGGGCTACGATGCAAGTGAGGCTTTGTCTCTTGATTCCATGGCTGGTCTGGTGCAATGGTTTGGGATGTCTTCCAGGCGAGCATGTCCACATCCACCACCCTCTTGAGTTGTGAAAAAGACGACAACTTTGTCAAAGCCTTTTGAGGTATTAAAAAGACACATATACCCAACCTATACTCTATCTGGAGCGTTGACTTGACTAAAATTCACAGAAAATATAATTTACCGATTAATATAGAGTTGGTTAATTATTTCAACGAATAATTTAGTTAAGGGACTAAAATGCAATTCAAATATAAATTTAAAGACCATTTGAATAAATAACCCAAAAATCCATCAATAATTTGTTACTGCTTGCTTTCATGGGCCTTGTCCTGATTTGGAGAACTTCTTCCACATGTATGATATAATTTATTCCACTATTTCAGTTTCGGACGCAAAATATTTTTTTTCCTTTTTATTGGTCGGAATGGGTTTTCGACGTACTTGCCATAAGAAACCTAATATAATCCATTATGGCCTATCTCTCAAGGTCCTACGAATGATAGAATTGGGCTGGGGTTGCTTTCTTAAACAATAGCATAGCAGCCCTGGTTTTCCTTCTTCTAAACAAGTGAGACAGAAAAAAAAAGGTTTGAATGTATGAATTGTACGAAATTTAGAGGAAAGGACAGTATGTTCGGGTTCAACATAATCAAATCAATCATCGCTTGTAAAGGACCTATTAGTATAGTATTTTGGACCAATTGTTCCCGCAAGAAAGATCCTAAGTTTGAGTCGTAGCCTATGTATAAGAGCATTTCCACCCCAAATGGCAATGGCAAGGTAAAGGCAAGGCAAAGTTTGTCACTATTCACGTGAATAGTGACAGCCTTACCTTTTTTTGTTCCATCCCAAAAGGAAAGGATAAGGGCAATTACTATTCACTTTAATTTATTTTCTATTTTTTATACTTAAACCATTAATTTTGATAAACTTTTCGAATACGATTTTCGGTTGTCACGTGTCACTATTTATTATAAAATTCTCACCTACAATTTCAGATAACATTTTCGGATAATATTTTCAGTTGCCACGTGTCCATATTTATTATAAAATTCACATCTCACTCATCATACAATTGAAATACTTCTAATCCTCATAGTCCGACACAATCGAGTATAAGGACAACTTAATCATTGGCAGAGGCAGTTCCACCAGATCATGATGTGGGGGAGTATTTTCCTTCGGAGAACATAATAGTGTCATTATTTCCAACACAGAACATACCACTGAAACCGACTACGGGCATTGTTCACTTGAGGAGCCATGTGTAATGGTTTTTCTCTTTTTTGTTTTGCCTTGAATAATCTATTAAAAAATGAAATTGAAAATGCAAGAAATATATATTTTTTAAATACATTAAATTGAATAAAATTGCAACTAATTTTTTTTCTACCTCGTCGCCAAGATTTTGACCTCTTCATATTTGCCCGGGCTGGTGGGTCTCATGCCTTGCCTGGTCTGGATTCTGGACGCTAGGAAGCGCCACGTGGCTTCTTCCCATTGGTGGCTGTCAACCGTGACGTCAGCACCTTCGGGCAAGAGCCTAGTCCATATTTGCCCGTGGGCTTGCCCAGGCTGGTGGGTCTCACACCTTGCTCAAGCTGGATTATGCATGTTGGAGGTTGATTTCGGGCTTGGGGTAGCCTTTTGCCCGGGCCAGCCTTGTGCACTGGAGGTGCCGTAACATGTGTGAATTTATATACTATCGTCCCTCTCAATGGAAAAAGTCCTAAAAAAAATTCAATCATTGCCTAAGTTTTATGGATAAGCAATAATAATTTTAAAGATTACAGCCATTTTTTCCATCCAATACGACTATAGATGCAAATCCTTGTAATCCACTTTTGTGTCACTCTATAATGTTTACCTTTGAATTCAGTTCATATTAAATTCTTCGTCCTCTAATATCACATACAAAAAAATAATAATAATAAATAAAGGGAAATTTGGTGGAGTTCTTAGTATAAATATAAACCCAATACTAAAGAGATGGGAATAAGAGCAGGCCGTAAGTGAGCCCAGTACGCAGCCTGCTCATTAGATCATGGCATTGGCAAGCGAGGGGCCTCCCTCTAAGAAGATGAACAAACATTTATGCATACAAAATAATGCTCTCTCTCTCTCTCTCTTTCATTTTCATTTTTCTTTTCTGTTTTATCACATGCACCTAACCTATACACCTAATGAATTGACTCCCCAAACACACTCGCACAGGAAGGAAAAAAGAAGAAGAAAAAGAGAGTCATAAAAACAGACGATTTAAGAACACCAGAGGTGTAGGGTGTAGCTAGGTAATTAAGTGGTCTCCAATATTTCTCCATTTTTTTGGTGAGATAGAGTAGCAGAAGAAGGTGAGATAAGAGGTTCATGGTGCCTTCCTTCTTCCAGCAGCCCACTTGAAATGTTATCGGCTGGTTTGGCATTTCTGTAAATCGCATATAGCACTAGCTGCGTTGTTCCAAGAAGAAACCCAATCCCGTTTGGTACCTAAACCATGCATAAAAAGAAATATATATTTTATTTTTTCCAAAAAGAAAAATGTTTGCATTAATAAGCTTATAGAATTTCCTATTAAAAAAAAAGGGGGATAGGAATTATTACCCCAAGGAAAACATCTCGTATGAGCCAAGCATAGAGAGTCCACACCCCTCCGTTGAGGAAAAAGAAAAATGAGAGGAAGAATGGCATGTACTCCACACTCTTAGTTGTTATCACTGTTTTCTGAAAATAACATAAAATGTATGATTATATGTCATGTATAATTCATATAATAGATTCCAAATGTGCATAAAGCAATAATAAGGGCAAAGCAAAGGTGGTTTTTAAAATGTTATAATTGGTCCATATACCTTCTTATTCAGATAATAGATTCCACTTAAACACGAGAGTTAATGGAAATCTATATGTAATACAAGGACGGAACTACGTTAATGGCTACAGTGGGTTATAGCCCAGGGAGGGTTTTGGGGATCTTTTTTATTTTAAAAAAATAAACTTATATATTTGACTTGTTTTGAATATAGCTGAGTATATATTAACTTATTAAAGTCCAAAAAAGTTTATTTATTTATTAATTTAGTTACAGGGCCTCAATAAAAATACACATTAAAATATGTACACATATGTTCATTTTGATAATATGTGTTTTTTGGTTGCATTTAATATGTATTTTTTTTATATACGAGCGCTATTTTACTTTAATCTAATCTAAAATATGGGGAGGGGGATTCGAACTCAGGTGCAGAGTGAGAAGCATATTCGCTCTACCCAACTTGACTAAGCCCATGTTTGCAATATGTATTTGTTTTATGCTAAAACTTATTGGAAATTAGCATTTAGCCATGCACTCGAGGTCCTGGAATAAACACACACAAAAACACTTATTGGAAATTAGTCATGGAATTATGAACAAACGTGATTTATATGATTTAATGTATTATTTCTAGAAAAAAAAACTATAAAATTTGTAAGTACAAAAAGAAAAGAAAAGATTATTTGGTTTTAAGCTAATAACTTTAGCTAGTCACTAATTGAAAAATTTCTGGTTCCGCCATTGATGTTACATGTAACATTTTTTTCGTTTTAAAAAAGCTTATTTATGTTTGAAATAAGCATATGCTTATTATTTTTCTTAGGCTTAAATACCTTTTCGGTCACTGGGCTTTACACGAAAATTCAATTTGGTCACTCAAAACAAAATTTAGCCAAATTGGTCACTATGTTTCCTAAACCATCATCTTCCGTTAAACGCAATTTATTTTTTTAGGAAGCACATTCAGTCTTCTTCCTCTAATTAACTCGACCAGTTTGGATATATTGTGCTATTAGGGTTTAACAAATTGGGGGAAATTTTGGGTTGAAATCAAAATTATGATGTATAAGATCACATATTGGATGCTATATTGAAGCATGAATTGATTCAGTTAGACTCACATTGTGACTTCGTATGACAATCAAAGTGATAGAGCACCAAAATATGTTGGTACGTTGTTGATTTCATTTTAATTTGGTTTGACATTTTGATTTCTTTATATCTCACAATTTCGATTTCAACCTAAAATTTTCCCCAATTTGTTAAACTCTAATATCCCAATATACCTTAACTCGTTGAGTTAGAGAAAGAAGACTAAAAAAAATAACAATAAAAACTGCACTTAACAAAAGATAACAGAATGCCTATATTAGTCGTAAACTATGGGAAACACAGTGACTAATTTGACTAATTTTTATTTTATTTTTTATCAATGACCAAATTGAATTTTCGTGTCGAATTCAATGACCTAAAAACATTTAACCCTTTTTCTTATGTGCGTAAATAAAGTACTCTCTTACTAAACTTTTGATGTGAAAACAAATGCTTATGTACGTGGTAAATATGGATAACAGTTTTATGCAAGATTGAGTTCTAAACTCGCAAGAGCATTTGTGTTGTATGGCCTGTGGACCCTACGAACGCAGCTTTGCGAACAGCTATCTCCAACTACCGTATGGTATGGGACCTGAGTTTCTAGATTTCAACAAAATGAATGGTGTGGACGGAAAGAAAAGGATCAAACAAAAGGTTTTTATTTTGGCTGGGATCAAACAGAAATTAAAGAAGGCATTTTTTTTCCCTTCCATATAAAAACAACAAAAAACTCTGGCATATGCCTACCGACTAGCAATTAGGTCGGAGGGTTTTTCTTGCAAAACGTCTTGATTTGAATCCCTCCTCGCCAATTAATAAAATTAAATAAAAAAGAAGTTGACCTAGATTTTAATTATTGGACCAACCAAGGGTTCGATGAGAAAAACAAAATATATCTAAAACAAAATATGGGTGTAGTGAGCAAAATTTAGGTGTCCTTACCATGGCAACTAGCGGCGAGCCGTACATCATGATGTTTAAGCCTGCACAAATGATCCCTAGTGCAGCAATACGTGTCTCTCCCTGCAATGCCAGCCAGGTAGCTAAAATGGCCGCTGCTAGGAAACCCACATCCAAGGTTCCAATCAAGATGGCCGTCTTTGCCTGAAATGTTGTTGCAGACATCAAATAGATCGTCAATTGAGATATGCCACAAATGAAACAAAAAAGACTGTGAATCTGAACCGCACATTCAAGAAAAATATCTATAAAATCAATCGTCTGAACTCACAGTCTGTAACGAAAGGAGTGAAGAAAGTTAAACATTACCCTCATCTTTGCTGGGGCATATACTAGAAACAAAATAAGGTAGATAATCTCAACAACGACACCAAAACCATTGACAGTGGCCACAAGAAATCCTCCGTTGGGCCTTATAATTCCATAGTAAGTCCACAAGAAGGAGTTGAGGAATGTGCAAACATAAGGCAGACTCTCGAAGTCCTCCGTCGATCGGTGCTTTACAATTCTCCAAAACGTTCCGCTGCATTTATATATAATTCAAAAACTCTTAGCTCTTTCTCTTTCGAGGGGTTTGGAAGCTTAGTTGAAACTATTAGCATGAGATTAAGATCTTACACAGGAGCAAGGAACATCAGCACTGAGATGATGTTGCCTGCAAATTATAGAAAAATTGCCATCAGAAAAGATTATGCTAAAAACATTACATACTAATTAAATAATTAATGCAAATTAAAACTTAATTAGTGGTTTCTTACCTATGACCCCAATAAATAAAATTAAGCCTTCCATGTTTAGAAAACTTTTTCCTCTTCAATTTGGATCAGGCGCCAGGAGAGAGCTAGCTAGCTAGGAGGTTGAAGAGAGAGAGAGAGAGAGAGAGAGAGAGAGGAGAGAGAGAGAGAGATAAAGAGAGCTTGTTTCTTCATTTTAACATATACATGGTTTGAACTTGAAGCATTTATTCGAAGACAACAAAAAAAACAAAAAAAAAAAAAAAAAAAAAAAAAAAAAACTGAAAGCAATATCTAACCAAAATAAAATATAAACAACATAACATGGTGGTTAATATTAATTTAGGTAAAATAATATACGCATGTTCTTTGAGAATTTAAATTTATTATTTTTCTATGGCCCAAAAGTTGTGGGTCTACTAAAGTGAGAATTATTTCTTTTCTTGCTTGGGAAAAAGTCTTATGTCTAATTAGTTTACTGTATTAATTAAACTAAAGAAAGAATACTTGAGTTAAGTCACGTGCTAGCTGGACGTAACTTTAAGCTTCAGGGAAGAAACAAACCCAGATCATTTGGGATTTAATAAATATATTACCATCGGGAAAATAAGAGCTCTTATATTCTTGTCAGTAGCAATATAACATGTATGCAAAAGTTTTTCTTTTTGTATTTTTAATGAATTATTCTTACATATGTATCAAATTGTGATTTTCAAAAAGGATAAATATCTCCTTACGGGAAAGAAAACAAGCAATATCCTTATCATCATAATCATGTTCCCCATTTATTCATATAATTGGTTTTCTTCTTTAATGTTTGTGCTTGAGATATTTTTTTAACATTAAAAAATAGAAATATAACTAGATTAAGAGTTGTTGGTTATATAATTGGTTCAAAAATTAAGATTTAATATAAAGAAAGTGAAATCATCTTCTTTTACGCTGAGGTTTGATTAATACAAACCTTTTTTCAGTTTCTTCTACCTTCCTCAGGTCGTTCTCTCTACCCACACGCCTTCTAGCGTCGTCGTTCCTATCGCCCTCGTCACTTCCTTTCGCTCATTCTCTCCGCAGCAGTGCCCTCGACTTCGCCTTCCAGCGTCGTCGTCACAAGCTTTCACCATCCAGCGTTTGTAGGCCTGGCATCCTACGATTGCATTGAAGCTTGATTTTTGTCTCAAGTTAAGTTGCCCAGGCCAGTTTTGTCTCCTGATGCATGCTCTCCCTTTGTATTCTTCTTTCCTAGCATACCAATGCGACTTTGACTGCCTTATGAACTTTGTTTTTCATAGGAGGTTTCTTTTGACAATGGGAAGAAGTTTGGGTGTGTTTTCTGGGGTTTTTCTTTTCTCTAGCCTGCTCGTGTTTTTGAGTTGTTTCTCTGTTGGTCTCTATGTTTTTTCTCTTGTAAGCGGTCCAGCGTGACCTGAATTGGACTTTCTTGTTAGTCTTTGACATACGTGGTACTCTTTTCTTGTTTGAATTTTCATAAGAAGATTTTAATGAGACCACTATTTCGTGTCATTATATTCACGTTGTTGATATTATGAATCTTCTAAAAAAAAGTAGAAAGGTGCATGGTGGGGACTAGTTAAAGCTTCATTTTCAATAGTACAAATATTTAATTACAGGGTTTGTGATTATTTTAGATGTTACTCTCACTCCTCTTTTTTTTTTCTTTCCCTTTAATTCGATGGTCCAAATTATTTTAACTTATTTATTGCTGTAGTGTTGTTGATAGACCAAATAATTGGTACTGGCGGGGCCTTGTACTTGACTGGGATGACTATTTATTTTTTTTTTTTTTTTTTTTTTTTTTTTTGGTATAAGAAAATAGGATTTTTTTTGTTGGAGGTTGTATACAATTAGATATTATGCGTGACATATTAGTTGGGAGGGAGGAAAGGGAGGAAAAAAAACCCCTCACCACATTACATGAAGAGTGAAAGCGATATTTATATTTCATATTTTTTTTATTTCAATTGTAAAAAAGACGTATCACTAGATCAAGAGCTAATTAAATCCTCAATTCCTGACCAATTTAGCTTGATCAAAAATTTTAATTAGCAATGATATATAAGTACTCAATTAGGCCAATCTAGCTATGACCAATTAGAGAAAACCCGTCTAGAGCTTAAAAAGTAAATCACAAGTCAACGTAATTAACTTATTTCTTATTACTTATAAATAAATATAAAAAAAACTAATTTCTTCAATTTGAAATATTGTGGTGTATTTGGTAGTTGGTTGTTACTAGTGTGCTGTGCATATACGTGCCAGCCATGTCTCACCAACCCAACCAATTCATTACAATCTACAATCTACAAAAACAGATCATCACATAACCAGATATTGGAGCCTTTAATTTATTAATATTTATCACATATATAAAATTGATTTTGCCTTTTAGTTGGCCAATTTCTCACACGTGTGCAACGTGCTGATGACTGCCCCTTATTTTCCATTGAAAACAAAACAAAGGAAGGTGGATGGATTCCTTTAAATAATTATATGGAGCCATATCCTTCCAATGCATTATTGCTTTCTGAATTCATTTTTTTATTTCTTTTTTGTTGTTTTGGTGGAATGTTGTTTTAGAACGTTTTGTTATTGAGAGGGGTAATAACATATTAAATTCACACACACTATACCGATGCTAAGACTCGAATCCAAAAACCTATATTGGAAGAGCAATTTATTTTGATTTAAACCAATTTATCGAACCTCAAATTGTAGGAATAGTTTGGTGTAATGCGGACAAAAATGGACAGGAACATCTTCAAAAGCAAAAGATTTGGAGATCTGATATTTTCGTAGTATAATATAGCAGCGACAACACAAATGACAAGTATAACGAGCAATTATGAAGACTTTTGTGTTTTAATATTGTACTAACATGCGTACACTCGTCGCTTCATTCTTCTTCTTTATCAACGTCATCATTTTATCAATTATAAATTATGAAATATACAAGTTTCTAAAGCTTCATGCTAGTCTTTTTTTTCTTCTTCTTCTTCTTCTTTCTCTGTAAGCAGAAGGAAGGAAAAATAAAAAGAACATGGTTTGCAAGCATTTTAACCCAGATAGTGAAGGAAAGACAAAAGGGTTGGGATTTCAATCCCATCCCAATGTATCAATTTGTCAAACGAAAAGAGAGAGGAAAAAAATATTTATTATTTTTGTCAAAATAAAATGTTGCTTTCTTTTATTGGATGACATTTGCTAAAGTAAGACATTCAAGATGATTATTCTCTAATAATATAAAATTTATCCATCAAAAATTGTTTTTTCGTTGTCTTTTAAGAAAAGTAGAAGATGTCAACGGGGTCTAGTCCAGTAAAAAAGGGTATTGACTTGCATTATAGTTGTGTATGTTTGTGAGAAATTCCCCGTATAGTTTAGACTATCGCTCGTTTGTACTAAAAAAAGAAAGAAAAAAGTAGAAAAGAAAATAAAATGGGAAACAAGATATTTAGAATGTGTGAGGAAGCTCAAAAGATGCCCCACAATAATCATCTTACTTCTCTACAAGAAAGATGTGAACGCACAATAATCATGTAAACGCACAAATGATGACATGGGCAGTTTTGCTTAAATTTAGAATGGTTGAGATTTAATGTTCACCACAGAATAAATAAAGAGAGATGTGCGGACGCATCTTGCATATAAAAGGGTGAGGTTGTGAATCACGTGGCTCTTGAGTCTTGACTGGTAGATGAACCCTCATGTCGTGTCGCATTTTCATACTCAATTGAAGTTAATTAATTCCCCCGAGTTTACAGAAAAAAGGGTTTACAATTTAAATTATATATGAACTATATATGAAAATGTGAAGTATTATCATCCAAACTTCTCTTATAAAAAAATAATTATTATCCAAGTTATCACTTGTTACATATCCACATTCCCATATGTTCTTATCTCCTCGTGTACATTTTTATTTATACCTAAACCTTATTTGTTGCTGAGCCATCTTCAACATGGAAAAGAAAATAGTATTTTGGGCTAAAGAAAATTAGAACCAAGAACTCCAAAGCAATGGGAAAACTTTCTTATAACCGAGAATTTGCTTGCTTCGATGGAGCACTCTGCAAGGAAGCAGTGGAAGGCACTGTTAGACAAGAAACAGATACCAAAGATACAATAACCGGTACTCTAATTTATACTAGCCCACAACCCACGATTGTTACTGAGTTCATGAAGCATGAACATTCAATTGTACAATTTTTCACGTGTTAAGAGGCTTTTTGCAGAAATGATATTCCAAGAATGTTAACAGGAAAAAGGCAATGTATAGGAATATAAGCCTCTTGCTTTTTGAGTGAGCTAAGCCCTTCACTGGCCTGTAAGTTGCGACAAACTTCAGATTTGTAACATTGTTCAACAGGAAATCGACGAAACTAACAGCCAAGAAATACTAAAACAATTTTCATGATGAAACACCAAGTTTGTTTCAGATAGTCACTGCAAGATAAACATAACATAGTTTGAAATTTCTTACCAGAGAAGCCCCCTTTGCAGCTCTTTCAGCCAAATAGGCACAAGGCTTGAAAAATTCACCATAAATATTTGACCATTCCTCCAATCTTGAATATATGTATTTGGATCCAAGTAAATCAGCCCAGAACAAGATACCTCCCCTGATCAGAAATGCCCAAACAAGTTATTGGTGCATTTTATGGCGTTTAAGAAGGTATTCCCAACAAAATATATAAATACAAACCTGTAAGGTGGGAAACCCATGCCCATGACTGCAGCAATGTCAAGGTCAGCAGCTTTTACAGCAATACCTTCAGCAAGCACTCGACAGGCCTCATTCACAACAGGGAAAAATATCATCTCCACAATGTCCTTTTCTGATAGCTTCAATAGCTATTGTTCAGATGGCACAAACATGAGTCAGATTCATACTTTTTATACTTCAGATACTGTCGTCCAACTTGAAGTAGCACGAGAGAGGGAGAGAGAGAGAGAGAGGAAAAAAAAAACCTTAGAATCTATTGAAACACCAGAAATGCTCCTTGACTTCTCAATATATTTTTTCAATTCAGGATCTGGGCTAGCTTTGCGTTTATCACCATAAGTATAGAACCCTTTTCGAGTACTTTCACCTAAAACAGTATAAAACCATATCATGAGATTATTTTTTATTTTTTATTTTTTGTTACGAGAGAAAATGAGAAATACATACTCATCTGTGCTGAAGTTTAACAGAAGTTGGTAAATAAATATTTTTACTAGCCAAGTATGCTTCAACAACAAATTATTACCTGCTCTTCCATCCTCCTGCATCAGAGGGATAATCATTGATTTATATGTCCTCTCAGGAAAATTCTCAATAAATTGCATGCCAGTTGCAATAGCGACACCAAAGCCAACCAGATCAGCCAATCTGCATGAATAAATAAAATATAAAAGTCAGTTCAGTGGAAAACAACAGTGTTTAAAGGTGGGGAAAAACAAAGGAACCACCAAGTCATAATTTTCCATAGAAGTACTATTGACCTGAATGGGCCCATAGGCATTCCAAACTTGGTGATTACTCTATCAATCTGATAGACGTCAGCACCATGTTCAACAAGCAAAAGACCAGCTTGTGTATAAGGAAAGAACATTCTGTTTACAGCAAATCCTGTGCAGTTTCCGACAACAACTGGGGTTTTCTTTATCTTTTTCCCAACTTCTAGCAAATCGACAACAACTTGGGGAGACGTCTGATTTGTACGAACAATTTCCAAAAGTGGCATGACATGCGCGGGACTGCATGGAGAGCACAAATTAGTTATCAAGTTAACAATTTGAGGAAGATAAACAAGGGAAAACGTACACTTTATAATATTACCTAAAGAAATGGGCGCCAATAATCCGATCATGAGACTTCGTCTTCTCTCCAATGAGGTTCAAATCGATTGTGGAAGTATACTTGCAAGTATGCAGTGTTGTGGGCAATATTTTTCAAGATCCGCAAAAATTTGTTGCTTTAGAGAAACCTTCTCAATAACCGCCTGCTCCAAGCATAGAAGATGAATATTTCAGACCTTTTCCCCTTGTTTTCAAGCAAAATAAGGGTGAACCAAAAACAACATGCTTTGCGAACTACCTCTATGACAATGTCCACATCTTTAAAACTTTCATAATCCAGGACACCCTTGAGAAGAGAGATGGTCTTTTCAAACTTTTCTTGAGTCATTTTTCCTTTCTTGACACGGCTCTGTAGATTGGCTGGACCACAACATTGACAACTTATAGCAGACTTGCATTACAAAAACTTAACAAAGACCCGTCATTATAATTTATAACACAGGAACCAAGACAACTAGTATATATAATTTATTATAAAACATTAGACGGATAAAGCTTTTAGAAGAAAATATGAACTGAACATAAAATACTAAAGTAGAAGCTCTAATCTTAAAAAGGACTTCAAGCCTCACCTCTGACTCTACCAATCCCAGCCTGCAAGAACTTATCATTTACTTCTTTCAGGATCACTGGATAACTACTAAGAATCAATGCTGTAGCTATTCCAGACCCCATTAATCCTCCACCAATGACAGCAACCTTAGTTACTCGTCTAGGCACCAAACCACGATCAGTCACCCCAGGTACCTATATATGGTTATGAGAGGACAAGTATTAAGAAGTAATATTAAAGAAAAGGTGGTTAATATTGGTAAGGCTGAATTCAAGTTCGCAACTTAGAGAGTGTAATAGTGTTACTCTTATCCAAGAATAATCGGTTGTAGCAATGGAGCAGTATCCATTTTTATATTATTAATATTCCAAGATTTTTAGATTAATTACAGGACTGAAAAGCTTATATACATTATAATAGATTATTGTGCAAACATAATATGTTTGTTCTATTAACAATGTGATTCCAAAGCTCAGTTCAGATTTTAAAGGCATGCCTATGCTTGTGAATTTTCAACCCACGCCAGTTAAATTTCAGTCACCAGGGTATGGCAGTTAAACAAGCACGGCTCAAAACTTCTTTAAACTTCCATTGAAAAGCAACTAAATGATAACGCATAGACAAAGTTCCTCCAGTTCAGTACCACGCAATCATTCTGCTTCAATAGGAATCAAATCTGGTTGAATTGATCAAGTATATGTCATTTTAAACTAACAGTATAATATAATTAAAGTCAGTGATCTACTATAAAAATGCTATTGCAGGATGTGTAAAATTTTAGAGATGAATAAGTAAAAGTTATGCGTGAAACCTTTGATGTTCCACGTTGAGCAAAGAAGATATGGATCAAGCTTTTGGAATTGTCAGAATGCAGAAGTACTTGAAAAGCCTCAGCCTCCTGCAAAATCCAGAAACAATGTCTCATAATTGCATGTTAATAATTTTGGCAAGGCCAAAGAGAATATTGAAACAGATAAAAACCTTCCAAAGTCCAGACCGGCCACCAGAGGCTATACCCTCTTCAACAACATCAATGCAAACCAATGGGTGTTTGAGATTTGGAGCCTGCTTCCTGACTTGAGCTCTTGCAAATTTAAGCATTTCCCTAGCTTCTCCAAGGGGCTCTAACTTGTCAGTCTTGTGAAGAGTAACAACCCACGGTCTTCTACGCTCCAAGATATCCAAGGCCCACTGGCGTGCAGTGCTCACCAACTGATCAGGTGAAACAATAGCGTCGACAAGGCCTAAATCACAAGCCTCTTGCCCCTTAACTGGTTTTGATGTCTAATAAGGCACACACGAAGGGGAATTGGGGAGGTAATGTGATCAGAATTAATAAAGTTAGCATGTCAAAACTACACAAGTTATTAAGATGTTGAGAAATGACCAAATACACAACAGACCAGCATCATCTCAAGTGCCTTTGCAATTCCCACAAGACGTGGAAGCCGTTGTGTCCCTGAGAAAATTCAGGATCATGTGATTGCAATCTAAAAAATGCAAGGAATATCAAGTCAACAATGCCAATATGCCATATACATTCTGATATGATCATGCGACTATTTTTTCTCTTTTCGTGGCTAATAAGATCAGCTACAGAACAGGGGATGGCCTCGACTGCCAATCCAGGTGAAGGAAGTATTTGATACTAGGTCTTAGTACAGTTTATTGAAAATTAAACAGTTCTTGAGTTAAAGCCTTCAATATGAAGGAATTTCAAGATAATATCTCAACAGGTTTTGATAGCACCATTTTCAACTCAAATTTGCAGTGAAAACATAATGTTAGAATTTTAGGGTAACATTAAGAGCAGAAAATGGTAAGCTAGGTCAAGTAAAGATGTGGTAGGCATGAACATCAACCGAAAAGTTAAATATTACTCCAGACTCAAGTGTTAAGCATTTTAGTTCCTCATTTTCTCAAACATAACAGCCACTACCAAATATAAACAAAATTTCTTAATCAATTTAGCCATACCTCCGAATCCAGGAATAAGTCCAAGCTGTAGTTCGGGCAGGCCTAATTGTGCATTAGGAGTTGATATTCGGGCATTGCACACCTAACACAAGAACATCAAAATTTCATCAAACAAAATCCAGTATTAAAATTTTCAGTCAAAGACAATATCACACATACCATTGCAACTTCCAATCCTCCCCCGAGTGCAAGGCCATCAATGGCAGCAACTGAAGGTTTACTAGTACCTGGGAAATTAAGCAACTCATCACAGGTCAATTCAACGTACTCTTGATTAGAAAGAAAAAAAATTAAAACAAAACAGATATATACCTTCAAAAATGTCAGTGATGACTTCCACAGACATAAAACCAGGCTTTGACTCGTCTGTGAAAAAATAACAAGAATAAACTTCACTGAATATGTAGTAATGCATTATTTTTTACTAGAATATGAAAAGCATGGAAAAGCAAACATACCCTTCTGCCCCCCTTGGAGTCCACCAAAAGCAGTAATATCAAAGCCACCAGAAAATTTGCCTTTTGCACCTGTTCCCCAATAACACAAGACATCAATTAGCTTCATTTCTCAACCAACCCAAAATAAGAACCAATTGCCCACTTACCCGTAATAACAATTGCCTTCACATCATTTCTGCGCAAAGCCTCTTCAAAATTGTCCTTCAAGCTGTATAATACTGAAAGAGAGAGAGGCCGTTTTGGGTTATTGCCAAATTGCCAATAGAGTTAATTGAATCAAATTATGGATCAACGAGCAATTATTTCAGCTAAAAAAACCCAGTAACAATTCAAACACATACAAAATATCAGTCTAAAACGCACCAAATAATTGAAAGGGTGTGATGGGTAAAATTGGAGAAAAAAAGAAAAGAAAAATACCATCAAAAGAGAGGGAATTGACAGGAGGGTTGATGATCGTGATAAGAGCCACGCCATCTGCTCCTACTTCCAAAACGGTACGACCCTTTCCTCTGCTACCCATTTGCTAGTTTGCTCTGCTCTGCTTGTTTCTCTATGGTTCACAATTTGAACAGGCGCTGTTCCTTCTTTAATGGAAGTTTGATGGGCGTTTTAATTGTTCTGAGTGACCGATTGTTTCAGAGTGACGTTGGAAAGGTTTGTAAGGAAACTGAATTTGGCAAGATCTGCAGTGTTATGGATGAGCAAGCGACGCTCTACTTTTACTCGCACTTCTGGGGAGGGAGTCACCACGCTCTACTTTTACTCGCATTTATGAATAGAAAAAATAATAATAAAAAGGTTGGTCATCAACCAGAACGGATCGTTGCATGACACGCATATTTCTTGCAGTGGTGGCGGGGCAGGGAAGCCCCGCCTCTTCTGTGCACTGAAAAAATACACTTTTTCTTGAAGTTTTCAATATCAGAAAGCCACGTCATACGTCTAAAAGCCCAATCGAGTAATTTCCAAGTGACTGGTGTACCATTTAATAGACGAAAGACATATGTAATATTTGCAATGCAACCCACTACATGTTATAAAAAGAAATGCATTAATTTAGATAATAATTCTACATGTCCTATGTTTATTGGATGATACACCAACCACGTGGTGTATCCAGAACATATACAAATTTCTCCAATTCATATATCCTCATAATTACGCGATTATTGTGCCGGCGTCTCCTGATTGGCTGCCGCTTTGGTGACCCATTCGCGGGGGAGCGTGGAGTAATATTCCCTGGAAGATAAACGGATCAGATCACAAATACCAAGTTTCACGAATTACGATGTCGTCGGCGTTTTCATACTTTGTAGATAGAAGAAAGACAGCGTGCCCAAATCAAATTCGGCAACTTTCGTGCTAGCTGCACTCCAGTTTGGGACACGCGTCGTATACAGAAGCAAAAGGATGGTGAAGATGGCCAAGTGACTCACACGTGCTCAAAGTTATTTGGGCTTGAGTGTTTCTATAATGTTCTGAATTGTGCACCTGCAAATTTGATCAAAGCACCCATCATGTATTTTCTTTTTTATTTTCAATTTTAATCTTGCATTTTTGATATATTGAATGTCGTGAATTGATAATTATAACTATTTTGCATGTAAAAAAATCAATAAGAATTTAGCGACAGTCAACTGAATAAATCAAAATTGTGTTTGGGTGTCGTCGTTTTCTTTCTATTCTACTATACTTTCAATGCTCAAAATTATCATTAACGTTCACAAAATTGAATGTTTTTAGGGTAAACTTAAAAACTTCGACAGAAAATTGAATTGATTAAATTGCTAAATGAAATACTATTACCACAAGATATTGCACCAATCTTTGCGCTATCACATTTAGTTTTACAATATGATTTTATTTTCAATGCATGTCACCAAGAGTTCACTTTGGTTCACAATGTATCCAAAAAAAATTGTGAATCCAAGCGCAAAAAAAATGATTTCTAAAACTTTCAAATTCTCCCGGACAACAAAAAAAAAAATAATAAAAACCAAACAAAAAACAAAAAAAAAAAAAAAAAAAAAAAAAAAAAAAAAAAAAAATTTAAAAACGCTTGGGAAAAAAGGTACGATAACCGAGTGTTAATAAGCGCTTAATAAATTTAAAAAAAACCCCTGCCAAAATTCCGCACGAAACTCTTCCCGCGCAACAGAGAAACAAGATCCTACTGTAGTGTCCCCAGCAAGCTTCCCTCAACCGCTCTCCACCAACACCATCAAATTTGCGGCGACTGAGAAATTAAACAGACTGAGAATTTCAGAGAAAACCCGAGCAACCATGAGCCCAACTACAACCGCAGCCCCAAGGGAACCGCCGCAACCTCTATCAGACGTCGATATCATACGATTGGCCCAATCCTGCTCACCAATCCCCTCCTTCCTCCTCACCACCTCGTCCCACCAAACCCTCCTCTCCTACCTCACTTATCGCTCTCAATCCTCTTCGCCGTCGAAGCCAGTCTCCGATTACACACTCTCTCTCCTCTCCCTCATCTGTCTATCTCCCCAAACCCACTCTCTCTCTACCCTTCTCTCCTCCGTCCTCCTCTCCTACACCCACCTCTTCACCTCCTTCAGAATCCCACACGACCCAAACTCCCTCAAGACCATCCAGTTCTTCCACACCCTCTTACCCTACGTACCCACCACCGACCTTCCCCAAATAGTAGAACCCATTGTGTCATTTTTGCCCCAAATCGTCGATTCCGAGAATGCCCAGATCCTCGATCTCCTTCCCCGCTGCTTCAACTTGATTCGCAATGCCGAGGAGATTGAAGGTGGTGGGCATTTTGTCAATTCGGTGATTGATAAGATTCTGGGGATCAATTGGTCCAAATGGTTGGTGATCAAGATGGTTTCGATTGTCCGGGACTTTCCAGTTCTAGATAAAACGAGGGCTCGAGAGTTTGTCGAAAAGGTGTTCGTGGGTATGTCTAGCTTAGACTTGCAGGACTTGCCGTCGCTAGTGTACCAGTTGCTGGTTTTGGGGTCCAAAGGGTTTGTTAAGAGGGAGGTGATTGAAGGGATTGTGTCGTTTTTTGGGTCGAATATGGGGTCCAAGGCGAGCTCCATAGTTAGGCAAGTTGAAGGGACTGTGTTGCTTCACGTGAACTTTGCAGTGAAGCAGGACCCTTCACTGGGACAAGAGGTGATGGGGCTTGTGAGGTCCGATCTCAGAGCTTTCAATCATTTTACTGTTGCTGTTTTGTTGTCGGTTTCCAGGGTTCGGAAGTTCGGCGACAGCTCGATGGGGGCTTTGAAAATAGCTCTGCTTACCGCGTACCGGGATTACAAGTTTGTCAAGTGAGTTGATGCCTTGTCAGTTTTGTTATTTGTTTAGTTTTCTTTGAAGTTGTGGTGGTGAATGCTTACTATGAATAAGTAATATGGATAAATTGTCTCAGTAAGTGTCACATTTGTTCATGTTCAGCACAATATATATATAGGTCCCCTTTTCTTCTTACAGAAAACATAAATATAATTTTTTTTAATAAATGTTGTTCTCCTTAGTTAGGTAATTATTTGGAAACTTTTCTTTCCTTCTTTGGGGACTGAATTTGCAAAGTCGTTCTTATCTTGCAGAGATTGTAAGTGGATACCTGATGACATGAAGGAAGAATACCTGCAGAATGTCAAAGTAGTGGAGAAGGCCATGTTAAGAGCTGTAATTGCCTTTTGTCTGTTACCTTTTATATGTAGACATCTGTTCTTTCAAGTTTAGTTATGCAGTATTCACTCTTTCATTGAAATTTAGGTTAATGAGAGCAACTATGGAAAGGAACATATGGTGCCCAGCATTTTGGAGTTTTCTTTTTCATTGCTAGAGTCAGTGGAAGGGGGAAATCGTAAAGAGCCCTGCAATTCAAGTGGTTTGTTAGGCATCGAGGAGCTTGCTATTCAGATGCTGAAAGCTCTATTCGAAGCCCATGATATGGCAAGGAATGAGGTCAGTACAGCCGTTTGAATATGGAATCACATTACTAACTTTTGGAAAGTGCTCAGTTATAATTTTGTAGTTGGAGAGAGGGAAATAATAATATACGTGTATGAATGTTATTTACAAAGACATATCTTCATTTGTTGACTTGGCCTTTCTTTGTTGTAGAGTTGTGCAAAAGCCACGCATGTTTAGCTATAGGATTTTTAATGATTTTAAGCATATCAGTGTATGAAAGTGGGTCTGAAAAAGTATCTGACAAGTGTCTTTTCTCATATAAAAAAATCAATTTCAATAAAAACCCATGTAATTGGAAAGCAGAGCAAATTATGTTTAACCAGTTCATGTCGTCCTCTAACCATCCACAATCTACAACATTAGTTGATTGATTTCAATGTTTTATAGATTATCGAGCAGTGCAAATTTCGCATCCTCTCTTTAAAGCCAGAGCAGAGCATGGCAATCATAAGGTAATTGAAGTAACCTGCTTAACAATGATGTTTATACTATGTTTTATGTTAAGGTTTAATTATTGTTTATGTGCAGACTGCTTGGTAATCTTGTTCAAAGTTATCCGTATCCCATGTTAGAACATGTTTCCCGTATGAAGGAATTGTTAGATTATTTCACTTTCATGCATGGCAAAGTTGCTGCGGAAGTTGTTTCTGTTTTATTGCCTCTCATCAAGTTCAGCCGTGATCTTCAGGTAGTCATTGTTCCATTGCCTAATATGTCAAAATTATACATTTATACTTGTGAATTGTGATACAATGTTCTTAAGCTCTAGTGAAAAGCTTCTGTTTTTTTAATTTATAATTACCTGAAATATGCACATAATCCACAGTTTTTTTAACATTGAAAAGTTCTAGAAACAATATGTATATTCATGGGTGTCTATTGGATTTTAAGTGAGATGATGTATGACAGCCAGGAAAGGAAATTTGAATTTTGGGGTATGAAGTACCGAATCACTCTGATACAGTCATGTTTTGCGCACAAAGTATGCTATTATAGGAGTGAAATTTTTGGTTGAAGTTAATAAACAAAGTATATTTATTTTCTTGTTTAATTCAATGCAGGATTACACAATTTTGGTAATGCGTAAGGCAATGTTTAGACGAGAAGATGCAGTTCGTCTGGCAGCAACTTCTGCTGTTATTGATCTAATTGTTGCAGAAAAACAATCCAAGAGAGATGACCCATTATCTTTTCAAGAGTCATCTAGCCAAGCTAGTAGCAGCCAGCAATCTGAGATACGCTACAGCATGGGGGGAGGCCTCTTTCAAGAGCTTAGTGGTTTGCTACAGAGATGTCTTTATCAGCAGGTTTTGTGTTCATCTTGATAATGTTATTCTCTTTTAGTTTGAAGAATGCCTATGAATATAATTGGGTCATGGTTTTAGGCAAATGTCAAGGAAGTCCTGTATCATGGACTTGTGAAGCTTGTGCTGGTGGACCTGTCAAGTGGGAGGGCTGTCTTTGATTTTCTGTTGCCTCACTTCCTCCAGTTCTTTAAGGAGGTAAATGCAGATGCTTGTGATTGCTTGTTTTAAGAAGCTTTATGTTGTTTCTGAATTCCAAGTTTTGATCCATTTTTGGGCATCAACATGGCTTATCATGTCAAATTTCATGAGAAGAAACTGAAACATTGCTTAATCTAAATTCCATGGTTAACATCAAAGCACTATGTTGGCAGGATGAAGACATTCAACTACAAATTAACTGCTGTGTCAAATCAGAGAGTGGCAAGGCTTATATTGAAGAGCCTTTACATTGTCTTCTATCTTGTATCTCTTGGATGCTACTTCTACAACCGCATGGTAAAACTGAGCAAGCCTTGGAATCATCATGGGCATGTTTAGGTTTCTCCCTTTCACAAGAAAACGAGGTATCTGATTGCTCAGAATAATGAACAAAACTCGTGACGCTATAGATAACATATGGTTTCTGGTTTCTTTCTTGTTCTTATTTATTTATTTGATACAATATGATTTCTTGTTTTGATGATAAAAAAGAAGATAATTTATATATTTTTGCTTACAATTTCAATATGAAACCACCGACAGGCAGGAAGAAATTCGTCTGTTGACTCCTTCCGTACTGCTTTTTTGAAGATACGGAAGTCTCTAAGAAATCAGAATTTGGAAGGTTTGCAGAAATACTTTATTAACCTATGCCATATCTTCCCTCCCTTGTTTTGTCTTGAGGTTGTGTGAAGTATCATTAGTCCATCTTTTTCAAATTTTGGGGTATGCATACTTTGTAATGTTTCAAAAGACTGGTTTTTGGGGAATTTGCGCTTGGTGAAACATTAAGCAAAAAGAAACGAAAAGTTTATTGTGCTTTGTTAGCCGCATATTGTCTGTATCCTAGCTGAGTTCTTTAAATTTTCTCTTATTTATCTGGATGGTTTTTAAGTGAAAATTAAAAGGAGATTAACTGAAGCATTAGTTTACCTCTATTTGATTATGTGGTATTGGAGAAAGAATAAGGTCTCTCTTCAACACCCAGACTGATTTTTTTATTTATAATAAAAATAATAATATTTTGAGTCAGAGTGGGAACTACTTAAGTCCCTTAAGAAGGGGTGAGTGAACTAAGCATTAATTGATCATTCCTATTTAATGCAGATCCTCCTTAACAGTTAGTTTATTTATGTGTCAGATCAGGCATCTTTGGTCAAACTCAGGATCCAGGATCTGCATCTGTTGAAGAGGACAAAAGAAAATGCTGCGCGTTGGTTTTATCGGGAATTATTGAAGTAGTCTTGAATTCTATTGCTACTGAGTTGGAGAAAGCAACAGATAGAAAGAAATTGGATCTGGAAAAGGAGCTTATTGAGTTTGTTGACCTTCATGATTCATTGGATAAGGATACAGGTTTCTCCAGGCAGAGTACAGTTATGAGAAGAGGAAATCCTCGCACTTCCGCTCATGATGTACTAAACAACATGGAGTCAGGCCACTCAAAAATGACACAAGGACGAATTTCTTTCTTTGCAACTTCGAGTATATATCAGATATTGCAAACAGTATTGAAACTACTCAACACTGATAATCCTAATCACATTGCAGCTTCCCAAAACCATAGCCAGCTTACTTCCAAGACATCAAAATGCTGCTCTAAGATGATTTGTTTTGTCTTGAATGCGTCCCTTAGTCATATAAAATCTTCCTCTGTTCTGCAAAATGACGATCCATTGAGAACTTTGATCTATGGAGAAATTAAAGTGCTAGGTCCCCCCTTGTTGAAATTGATATTTTTGCTTACATCAGGGCCAAAGATGGTGTCAAATCAAAACAAAACGGAAGCTAAGGGAAAGAAAGATGTTCAAGAACAAAAGGAACATCTTCATCTAGCCTTGATTTGCTTGAAGGAATTGATAATGATTTGCTCACGGACTTCACACTTGACTGGTTTGCTTGAAGATATGGTTTCAATCTCCACTTTTCAGCATGCTGGTTCAGATAATGAAAGTGAAACAATCTCCATAATCGAAGATCAACATACAAGAAGCAAAGAACTGTTCATTGTAAAAACCTTGAAGCCTCTATTTTCTGAGCTTCGTGCACTTTCATTTTTTAGTGAAGTTGAGGTAACCAGCATCTATGACCTTGCTGATTTATATCTTATTCTTTTTTTAATTTTCCTTCTAAAAGAGATTTTTCGATTTCTCAAAAGAACTACTTTTTCTTTCAGATTATTTGTGACATGATATTGATCATTGGGGGCAAATTGCCATGCAAATTAAGTAACTCCCATGGAGCTTGGGCTATTAGTGTTTGCAAGAGCAATGAAATATTAAACTCAAAGTTTGCTAAAAGTGTTGTGACACTGGCTTTATGCTTAAGCTCACCTCCAAATGATTTAATAATATGTCAAGATATGGCTAGAGCGCTGTTACAGGTTATTGGATCAGAGGGAAATGTCCCAGTGAAGGTGTCTGAAGTGTACCCCCTCGTAAACCATCTGACAAGTCCCACAATAAATTCTTGTATCCTGCACATAATTGAAGCAGTTATAGTTGATATGGATTGGGCCATCAAAAAGTTGAAGACATTCTCTTTAGTCTCTCAAAAAAGCATTCATCTTAGTCAGAACATCGAGCAATCTCCAGTGTTGGCACTTGAGGAAAATCTTTACAATAGGGCAGAAGCAGTGGTGAAAGTACTATCATCCTTTGCTTCAATGAGCCTCAACGGTACGTGTGCAGTTTGTACTAAGAAATGAACTTAAAGTAGGTCACTCCTGTTTATGCATTTTTGATTTGAAATTGTGCAGATACTCAAGCTGAGTTTTTGCTGCGATTTTGTGCAAGGTTTTACAAGCATTTAGCTCAGATGTCAAAGCTTAGGATTGCTCCTAAAGGTTGCAAACAGATTTTTCCTAGCCTTAAGTTTCAGAAGCTTGTGGAGGTAACCTGCAAGCAGCTCACGAATCCTCTATATGACTTTGTGGCAATTATGCAAGGGGTATGATAATAGTTCTCAGGGCCTTTTTTTCCCATTATCTCATTGCACTATCAAATGTTTGCTCAATTGTAAAGGTTTACCTGATGATGGTGTTCCATTTCATCATACTTGTGTTGCAGAAACATCAAGAAAATGCTAATACAAAGGGAATGATCAACAAAATAAAGAGGGAGAACAGATGCATCCCGGAGCTGATATTTCAAATAGAAGATTATGAAAAGTATCTCATCCAGCTTAGCAAAGTGTGCAAAGTAAATTTATTAAGGCACGCGAAGCGTAGTACTGCACGGGATTTCAGAATAATCCCAAACAACATTAACAGGGAAGAAGATCCTCCAGGTCGAGAACCAAACCAGGACAATTCCAATGCAGTTGAAAATGAGTCAGGTGAGGATCTTGGTGACGATGAAGGAGATGATGATGGGTCAGAGCATATTTTATCACCAGAAGACAATAGTCCTCTGGTTGCAGGGGACTCTGGCTGTGATAATGAAGATGGAGATGGCCTTCCTAGTGCCAAGAGGTTGAAGAGAAGCAACAGAGTTGTGCAGGACTCTGATGATGAAGCCTAAAACAAAATGCATGGAGCTGATAAATGGTATACACGCTATTAGTAATTATGTTATACAGGAAATTCATAGTTGTCAGTTGGCCATCTTTCAATTTTGATACTTATGTTTTCGGCCAACTCAGTTTTGATATTTTGCCTACTTCTACTTTGATAGAATTTTAAGCAAAAGTAGTGATTTGCTTGTTACAAATTAGTGATCTTCACGCTCTCATTTTAATTTCTCGTACTGTTCATAAATGTATAAAAAATAGTTACTTTAAATTAGTCTAATTAGAATTCGAATTTGAGTGTAAAGAAGTGGACTCCTGCAATGACTAACTCGCATAATCCGTGTATTCGCTCGAAAGAGGCCTAATGGTATGTACCATTTGAATGATGAGTTGGAGCTGAAAGTACAAAAGGGTAGAAACACAGCTATCATTACACAAAAACTGAAATGATTAAATTTGGTCGGACGTCCAAAAGGATTTAAATTCCAGAAAGGGCAAAACGACACCGTCACGTCCCATTCACACAACTTACCTAGCCGTAAAACTCGTTGATCTTCAGGCATATCATGGATCGGGGAACCATTTTCCTGTTTCCGTGCGCGGTAAAAACCCACCAAACTCAAAACGCAGTAAAAAAGAAAAAGAAAAGAAAGACCCCCTAACCCAACAAAAGTAAAAGAAGGCATCTCCATAATTTCACACTTTCATTCCACTCATTACAGTCAGAGTCAGAGTCAGTCACAGGCCCGCACAGAGAGAGAGCAAAGAAAGGGTGGATGTGGAGGGTGTTCTTCTTCTCTCTGCTGAAAAGAACAAGTCTCGTCCTGCTTTTGCAAGCAAACCTCTGATTTATTACCAAATCAGAACCAGACACAGTCAGACTTTCTCTCGCTTTTGAAAGCAAAGCAAAGCGCAGAAGAAAAAGAGCACAAAATGAGTGAAGACGCCAAGAGAAGCGTCCCTGGAGCTCTGTCGGCTAAGCCTAATTCCGACGACCGGAAACCCTCGCCGGCGGTCACCACAGCCACCGGCAAGCGTGTCATCATCAAGAGCGCCGACATGTTCCAGGATATGCAGAAGGAGGCTGTCGACATCGCCATCGGCGTTAGCTCCTCTCTTTCTCTCCATATCTTGTTTTTATTATTATTATTAGTTTTTTGAATTTTCTCATTAAGAATCTTTGGGTTTAATTTACAAATGGGTTTTTTTTGGGGAAAACAAAAGTATTGAATTTCTGGGTTTTATTCAGGCATTTGAGAAGCACAGCGTAGAGAAGGACGTTGCGGAGTATATTAAGAAGGAGTTCGATAAGAGGCATGGACCCACTTGGCATTGCATCGTCGGTCGTAATTTTGGTAACCCGTTCAATTTCTCTCTTCCTTTTTCTGGGCATTCTTTTGCTTTTTTCTTATTGGGGTGTTTTGTTCAGATTTAACATTTCAGAATTTTGGGTGATGATGAACAAATCTAATGCATGGTTTTGTGCTTTTAGTTGCTATTGGGGTTTTTCTAGTTTGATGAGGATGGGTTGTGCCGTTTGAAATGAAATAGATCTAAAACATTGTAGCTCTCTCAGATTAAGAAATTCTCAGTAGAATGGCTGAAAAACTTTGATAATATATATTACTTTTTTTGTTGATATGGAAGGGTGCTTAAACTCAAGAATGGAAAACCTGATGACCAATGTTTATTCTTCAATGGATCCTGATTTTGGAGGGATCTTTGTTATTATTCTTTCTTCAACCTTTAGAAAATTAGATATTCAGCTGCGGTTGAATGGTTGAAAGGGTTTTGTAAGTAATAGAAAATTGGGGATTCAGTCTTGTATATAATCTCTATACAATCCAAATCATGTTTGTCAATGATTGAAATTAAGTTGTCGGTTTGGCTTGCTTATTGGTTGTGTACTTGATGTTCTAGGTTGAGCCTAATATGCTATGGCTAGATCAATGTCTTATCGATGCCTTAGGAGGAGGCACATAACTAAATGTGCTTGGGGTTTGGCTTCTGTACTTTGTGCGAGAACATGCATCCCTAAATGCTTATCTGGTTATTTGGAGGACAGAGATTGTAGGTGGTTATCGGAAAAAAGGTTTAGGAGAGATGCTTGAGTAGTTCACTTAACACAGCTTGAGTTGAGAAAAATTTATTCATAGCCCATCCATCAAAAAAGGTTGTGCTTGTGATGTATTACCAGGCAAGAGGCAGCCCATCGAGGCGTTGATTTGCTTACAGTGAATGTCCATGTATGCCATATTGTTTTGCTCTACTTCTGCATATGGCATGATATTTGATTTCATGTACATTCTATGTCTTTTCCTCTGTTTACATTTGCACATGCAATGGTTTGAGATTGGTGTAGAATTCAATATCAGTCCTTGGTTTTAACAAAGTGTCCATATTTCCTGTTTTGTATGAGTATTAGTTTGTACCAATTCTATTGAGAGGAAACAGTTTCTGGGATTCCCATGGAGAACCAGAGTGTCATTTTGTTTAGTTTCTATTCAACCAACTTGTCAGCTTCACATAGTTGTAATAAAAACACGAGGCACCACCTCGGTTGAATAGTTTGTCATTGCCATGTGAATCTCCTATTTTCTTCCACGAGTACCCTTTTGGTTAATTATGAATCTCACAAGCATTGACATTGATGCTTTAGAGTTCAGAGTGTTCACTCTTACATTTGGTTGTTGGGTCTAACGTAGCTGTGACCTTTTCTTTTCAACGTATTCCTGACATATGTATGGAATAGCCCTGTAGCAGGCAAAGGCTTGTGTATAATGCCTTCGATGATCTTTGATATGGCATCCAGCTCCTGTTGAAACAAGGACTACCAAGGGCAATTGCTGCTAATTTTTCTTGCTCCATTCAGAATGCAATATATAGAAATTGTCTTTAATTTGGGATTTTCGGAATCCCTTTTGTTTTCCTTGCTTAATCTGAATCCAGAGATTAAATCATTTAACATAGAGTTGTTTTTATCTTGCTTCCTTAGTAGTTATCTTTAGATTGTTCTTTGTATACCAAATTACAAAAAATTTGTAACATAGAATAAGAATCGTTCACAATTATGATTTCGTGTTTCTTTGTGCAGGTTCATATGTGACTCATGAAACAAACCACTTTGTTTACTTCTACTTGGATCAGAAAGCAGTTTTGCTATTTAAATCCGGTTGAACACAGTTGTCATGTTGGCAAAGATGGAGATGAAAAGAATGACGAGCCTGAAATTGTGATGCCATAAGTTGCACCTGTATGTATTAGTTGAAATCTGCTAGCTTGCAAACCGCTTGCTTAACATTTTCGTGTGCTTAACTTGTATATCTAATATCACTTCTACGGGCTGTGAACCTTGGGTATGAATTTCAGTCTTTCAAATTAATTGTTTCTCTAAACTTGGCTCTTTATCAGAAAGCTCTCATTTTTCTTTGTTGGGTGAAGTGAAAATATGGAACTTGTATGGGGACTTCTGAACTTCACATCACAGTAACTTAATTTGTACCATTCTCTTCTGGTTTAGAAGAATGGTTTTTACTAGGAACTCACCAAACATCAGAAAAGTTGCTACTTTTTCTTTTCCTTGATTGGATGTAGACATGAATTTAAAACCTGATGGTTTCTCTAACTCTAATTATTGATTCAATTTCATGCTGTGAACTGATTATTTTCCTACTGAACAAACAAGGAACAAGGAAAGCTATACTATTTCAATGAACGTACAAAATCAAGGGGAGATACTCTTATTGGTTTAAGAATGATTAAATTAGTGGTGGTAAATTACACATAGTTTATTAGCTAGTTAATAGCATATATTCCTTTGAAGTCAAGCAACAAACCTTTGCCATGAAGCCCATGGCTAAGCTAAAGTCCAATAGTTTCAAATAGGTTTAAAATTTCAGTTGCCTTTAAATAAAGTCACTCCCAGCCAACATAAGAATCTCCTCTCTTTTTTCGGATACACGGACTTAGTCAAGTTGGCTAGAGCGGATATACTCTCCGCTTGCACCTGAGTTTAAATCTCCTTCTCTCTAGTTTAGATTAGATTAAATTAAGAATCTCTTCTTTGAGTAATATGATTAGATTGAAATCTCTTTTAAACAACTAATAGATAAACTAGCACTTTCAATTAAATAGGCTTTTGTGGGGGCAACTATTGATAATTCTTCTTTTTTAATGAAGGAAACGAATCTTGCATGGCAACTCCACTCAGAGCTAGCTCACTCTTCAATCGGCTATATCTGTCTGCCCAAGAATCTTTATAATGTTTTTGGCAATTCTAATCCAAGAACTTTTATCATGTCTAGCCGCCGGCAAGTTGATCGGCTCGAATGATGCATGTCTAATGTTTCTTTGAGGAACATAATCAAGAAGATTATTATATTTAATCTCTTTTACAAAAAGTTTGTAGAATTCTATATATTGAGTTTGGCTACTTTGTCATATTTTATATAAAATTCTACAGAAGCCTCTCATTTTCTCTCTGTCAATGTCAAGTCTAGAATTCACAGTGGTCTTGAAGCTATTAAAAATGGTTTTCCTCAGGCAGCAGCAAGGTTAAAGACCTAAAATTGCAGTGTCGTTTTGCAGGGAGGGCTTATTGAAAATATATAGGAGGGAGGGAAGGCATAAAGACAAATAAGTGGCAAATCCTATTTATTCCAATTAGCATTTCCCAAATTCCAATCTCTCTTTCCTTCTTGTAGTGCTCTTTCTAGGGTTCCAAGTTCCTACTTTCAAGACTGCATGAGCAGATAAAAAAGCATATAGATTCCATTCCGAGGTCCTAATTCCTGTGCTTGTTTTTTTTAATCCATGTTCATTCACAGAAGAAAAGTAAAAGAAATATAAAAAGAGATTCACACCCACTATTTTCCCCAAATGATTGATTCGTACCAGAAACCCTTTTCCTTGTTTTTTATCTTTCTTTATGGAACTGTTTCCCAATGTCAATTTGTGTAGACATGATGTTTCAACTTCCAATCATGCATGCATCTAGCTCGCCTCACCTAAACAACCATACAAAAATTACTCGAGTGCTTGCAGATGAAGCCATGGCAGCACTATATATCATTGGATTGTGCAGGAAAAATTATTGTATCCTTTCTCGCATAATATGCACGTAAAGTTCATTATTATGCGACCTGATCTGGCTTGGTATGGTAGGTACCACGTGTATTGCTCGATGAAAGTTACATATAAAATACAAAATATTTTCGACACTGATAAATGCTAATAAAATACTGTCCATTTACATTGTTAGAGGAAAGTTACATATAATCAGTGCATACGAAACTTTACCTAAGCCAACTTATAACAATAAACTTTTCCTTAATGCGACACCGATAAATGGTAACAATCAACTTTTATTTTAAATTATCAGAGAAAAATTACATATAATCGAAACATACATAATCTTCCCCTAATACAATACCGACAACAATCCACTTTTTTTTTTTTCTACGTTGTCGGAGATGAGTTACTTATAATTGACACATGCAAAATCTTCCTCTAATGCGACACAAATAAAACAATATATTTTTTATTCTGCATTGTCAGAGAAAAATTACATATAACCGGTGCGTTCAAAACAGTTCCCGTAATGCGACATCGATTCATGGTGACAGTCAGCATTCCTTGGCAAAAAATTTGCAACCTTTCTGGTATTTATCCTTGGATGTTTTCTTCTTGATGAAACATTTTACCTTCTCTTTCTTTGGCTTTTCCTTCCCCATTTCTTTTAACGAGCAAAGAACCCAAGACCATCCACCTTCCTTGGCAAATTATTGGACAGCCTATCTTTGTCAAATGTAAGAATGGGAACCCATGAAATTAAAACGGTAGCTAAAGGATCAAAATCACACTCATTTCAAGCACTAAATGTATTGAATTCAATGTTGCAAATTGCAATCAAATCAAGAGGGGCTTAGATTTAAGATGCATAAAAGGGGAGGGCCTATAAATTAAACCAGAAAATTGCAAGGGGTTGAAAGAAATATATTCAATCTCTTGGTTCCTTCCTTGGTGGCAGTAATCTTTTTTCTTATTGGGACCATGACATTGTTCTCCAAGTACTAATTCTGCACTATGTTGTCCACCAATATATACTATTGTCCCCTCACTCAGTGCGCAATTTAGACATTCCCTCTACGATTCCACTAAAAATGCGCATCGGATCAGAAAAAGAAACAACAGAGATTTTGCATTGTTGTCATCGTGTCAAAGAAAAGAACACAAGTAAAAAGTTAACCTTCATGCTCCATCTCATGAATGCACAATAACAAAATGCCATTAATGCCCTCTTAACTGTCACAAAATCCCACCACTGTCCTCAATGGTTTCTGCTCTAAACAATGGTGGAGCAACCAAAACCGTGGGCTATTACAGATAAAATGTTTGGGGGCAAAACAGTTGGATCCTTTTGGCCTCTTGGCAGGAAGCACCCAAAAAAAAAGGACAAAGAACATCATAGTCATTTCGAAGTAAACCAAAGGGTAAAACTGAAAATACAACTCAAAGAAACCAATTCTTGGTTTCCAACTGGTTCTCTCTCAGTCTCAGTAGGCAAAACCACTGCCTCGGTTTCTGGTTCCTTTCCTTTGATTAGAAGCAGCAGATGAAGAAGAAGATGATGAGGAAGCCGAAGTAGGTTTCATGGCAGCCATTGAACACTGCTTCTCTTGGCGAAGACTCTCTTCCTCGTCCATGAAAATCTGTCTGTACCTGCACTCCACGCTGCAGAAGCCCCTATCACCCCTGCATTTTCAAAACCAAATGAAAAAAACCCAAATCAAGATCTTCACTTTTTTCTCCAAAACCGCCATGCAATGATGCAAAACCAAAAACATCTGGGTTTTTTAAGAAACAGTAAAATCGGAGGTGGATTGTGCTTATTTTAACAAAAAAGTGTGGTTTTTTGTATTTATTTATTTATTTATTGTTGTGGGCAGACTTACTTGTACATGTAGATGTCTTTGCCAGGCAAGAGTTTCTGTCTGCACAAAAAACATTGGTCAAGAAAAGTTGGGGCCAGGAGGGGTGTCTGAGGAGAAAAGAGAAGATTTTTGTGGCTTTGTGAAGGGTTTGAAGGAGAAGGCAAAAAAGAAGAAGAAGATGAAGGCTTGTTGGTGACAACCATGGTGGTTTTGTTAATAACTTGTGGGATATTTTTGCCCACACCACCACCACTTCCCTTTTGACCTTCCAGTACTATGCTAAGTCCTACCATATCTCATTCTCTATGTGTGCCTTCTTCAACACACACACACACACACACAAACACTCTTTGAACCTCTTTCTCTGTAAATTTGGTGATGGGAGGAAGGGAGAGAGGCTTCTGGAGGATGAAAATTTTGAGGAAAATAAATAGAGCAGAAAGACAAGAGATTGGTGGGTCCCCTAACAGCTATGGAGCAGTAACAAGGACGATTAGCGTAGCCATTGATTTGACTCCTTGTGCTGGTTAACTGCCACATACCCCCTTCTCTAGTTCCCAATTCATTTTCTTTTCTTTTTTTTCCATTCTTTTTTTGGTGGTTTTTTTTCTTTTATTTTGGGCTATTTTTGTTTTTGTTTTGTCTGCTTATGTTTACGTTTTAAATGTGATTGCTTGCATAAAACTCGTCTCATAATTATTATTATTATGGTCAGAAGTGAAAACAAAAAAACGAAAAAACCCAGTCGCATTCGAACAAAAGCCAGAAATGGGTCATGTGATCAGTTGCTCTCTTCTGTGGAGGGTTGCATGGCTTGTATGATTTATACATGAACTGAAGACTGACAGAAAAGCATGCTTTGTTTTTGTCTACATGCCTAATTGCCAAAACAAACTAACAACAAACCTTTGAGTTTATTACACACCTTCTAATAATTTTGTGTGCTATATTCTACAAATTCTTTCTTGTTTCTTCTGTCTTTTTCATAACGAAAGGAAGATTATTGTTTACTTAATTCATTAATCTATATTAATGCCCTAATAGATTATGGTAAACATTGTTGGTGAGGATGATTGGACATTGTTTTGAAAGTTCTATCTCAACCCACCCTGGGTTTTTTTAAATTTATTTTCCTTTTTCTTGACCAATGGAAGTATAAATTTCTAACCCAATCCGAACCCACTAACAGATAGGGTGGGGTTTACTAATTGCTTTCCAAAAAGGTCTTCAATAGTGTTATATAGACTATCTGAATGCTTCCTAATCGAACTTTAAAATATATAAACAGGACATTCATTGCTTTTGTTTTATGCACAATCAATGTTTTTAAACATAAAAAAATCATTCGGATAAGCATTTCAAGTTTAGATGTTTTTCAATATTAAGAAGAGAAATATCATAAGATGAATAACTATATGGTTCTACGATGGATATTTGCAATTGTAAACCCGTTATGTCCCTTAATAGCCTACAATATTTACGGTGATTTAGTAGATGAATAAAGATATATAGCACTTGTTCCTTTGAAATTTGGCAAGACAATTTAGATCATTTTCCCAATAATTCAGAAGTTTTTGAATGAACTACTAGACAGAGCCCTCTGGTAGTAGAAAAACTTATATGAAATGGGAATAACATTGTTTTGTTATCCCCAGCCAATCAAACTATATCAAGTGGAAAAATTATCACACGTAGCGTGATTGGCCAAAAATAACGAAAACAGTAATACCCCATTTGCACTCAAGTGCTTCTCTTATGGTAGAGATGTGGTTGATAACTTATGGCTTCCATCCCCACCCCAACAACATAAAATAAAGGAAAAAAAGAGGAGGATGAGCACTCCTGGATGGAGCAGCTGTAATTCTAAGTGAATGACTGCCTCTTTTATGTTGATCTGCATAGCATTCCAAATCTATCTTGGAAAAAATATATATAATGTGAAACCCCATATTTTTAAATATATATATATATATTATATTTCCAGAAATTAAATATTTTGTTATATATTTAGTTTAAAACTTATATATATAATTGTCTTGGTACATGTTATACTTTCATAAATTTTATCATTAATAAATATATGCTTAAATAAATATCTGAATATGTTTTATTAATCTTATATCATTGCACCTCATGCATGTTATTAATACTTGGTGGCTAAGTTTAAAGGATTGTAGTGATCAACTTTGATTCATAGTGATAGACATGTACATTTTATTACAGCCAAGCTAGGAGCACTGTCACCTTGTGAGTTGTCATCTGTATATCTTGAATTTGCTTAGCTTTAAACACCCCCTGCTATAATTTCTTATAGCTGGCAGCATTACATTCATATGCACATGCCAATTCACACCACCTACTTGATATGCCGACATTCCCTTTCTATCTCGTCTTTAGCCGACTCTTATTTGTACTATAAATAGGAGCCTACTTCATTGCTAATTCAATACAACAACTTAGAGATTGCATGCGCCAAAAGCAAGGTAATAGAGAGATGCAAGGAAAGATGATATTGGAGGAGATAGAAGGCTTTGCGTGTGTTTTAGGAGCTATACTTTGGAATCAAGGTAGGGGTTTCTTGAGGGTCCTTTACGGGGATTGATTTAATTAAATTTCGTGAGCACTATATTACGCATGATATAGTAATGTTCTTGATATTGGGTGTTTACGTGTTGTTAATTATTTAATTAATGTTGGCATGATTATATGTACATTGTTGATATTTAAATGATTACATTGTTTTTATGAGGAGTAATGCTACACTTACAACATTTTTATCCCACATTTCTATATCACATGATGTGGCATGTTCATATCATATGACACATCAATTAAATGAATGAAGTGTATTTTAATTATAAAAAAATTAGAAAAACATAAACTATTATTTTACATGATGTGGTATGTACACATCAGCTGCCACATCATGTGGTATGAAATTGTGATATAAAAATGTGGTAGACTAGTATTATTCTTTTATGAGATATGTGAAAAGAAGAACTATATCATGTCATGGAAATTATTTGGAGTTCTTGGGTTGAGAAAATAATGGTAGAAAATAGGGTAATAGGAATGATCTTTTATGTAGTTGAGTCGAACTTTTGGTAGGTACCAGATCTCAGGGATCACACATTGCACATGATTTTTATCGGGTGATGCGGGACTGGTGACATGGAATTTCATAGGATGACTAACAAAATGAGAATTATGGGATGGTTGACATGAGTGTTAGTTCATATAAATTGGCATTCGGGACCAAGTGGTATAAGCATGTTATGGGACGTATAGGTCTGCTTGTCCAGTTATATGAATTAACAGGAGTAGATGAAGAGCTTCATGCATTAATATTATTAATGTGATATTTGGTTATGTGATTGTATGTCACTTAATTTATTTATATCAATCTATTGTGGTAAGGTTTCATGTCCCTACTAAGCGATGGTTGCTCATCCCTAACCCTGTTTAATTTTTCAGATGAATTAGAGGGTAAGACAAGGACTAAACCAGTTGAGATTGAATTAGATAAGAGTGATAAAGCTTTATTTATTTATTGTAAAGTTGTAAGATTTTGAAGCTATTTTTATAAGAAAAGTTTATTTTAAACGGTTTCTTTCTTTTTCTTTATATTTCTTTTTATTTTTTTTTCTCACGCACCGGGCTCGAGATTTCCACCGACCCCGAGTCTGGGGCGTGACATATAAATTATTGCAAAGATGGAGAGGATTGAGTTTGATAGCAACCTTTTATATTCATTATATTGCATCCTTCTTAGCATACCTATCCCTATTATATATATATACATATATATCTCTTAGACTTAAAGCTATTAATTGTTTATTTTATTTTACTCTAATCTCAGGTATAATTACAATTGTACCAAGGAATTATTATTTACCATATATATTTACAAGCCAAAAGGAAGACACGTTTCTCTTAATTGGAGGATTAGAGCTCGTTTGGTACGTCAGACTATACTGACTAATTTTTGTCGGATAGTATTAATCTGTTCCGAAGAATACTGACTGTTTATCCATATATTATAAAGCAATTAGTGTTGTTCTGGATAAATGGTCTGACTAAGTTATACTGTATTTGGTGCTGTTTCCGGATACCTGGAGAAGAGTGAAGAGAATAACATGTGGATAATATAGTACCCTATGAAGAAGAAGATGAAAAGATAGCAGAGAAGAACCCTAAGGAGAAGAAGATGAAAACATCATTGTCTGATTTTTCAAGTGAACGTGTGTGGGTTGTATTAGTTAGTCAGGTAAGAAGAGTATTAAAAGCCTAATTCATTTAAAATAGTTAGGTAATTAAATAATATAAGTTGACACCAAACACCTTACATGACTATTTACTCTTATCCAAAGTCTAATACGATGTACCAAACATATTCTTAATGCAATAAGGCCCAACCCCCTATGGTTAATTAATCATATGACCTAGCAAGATATTATTTTTTATTTTTCATTTTTGCAAATTTTGAGCAAGGGAAAGAATTACGTACAAGAAAAATATAACACATATGAATTAGGATAGTTAAACACCCTTTAATTGCTTTCACTTTCATGCTTATCAAGAATAATGAATCAAGTAACTTAATCTTAAATCTTTAAGGCCTGGTCCAATTATAGGTGAAAACGAAATCACACCCGTTATGCATGTAAAATAAAATATAAAATAAGATGAGCATAGGAAAAAATATGTAAATCAAACACATTTGATTTGATGGTACATTTAGAAAAGTGATCGGACGAAGATATTATTTTCAAATGGGGAAGTCCAATTGTTTACACATAAACTCATGTTACTATCAGATTAAGTAGAAGATAAGATCTAATAATTATACCCCATTTGTTTAATAAACCATATCAGATTCAGAACATTGGTAAGTAACCATGTAATTAGATATGGATGGAGGAGGGGATGGTAACTTTTGAAAGCTCTAAGGGGCGGTTGGGGTGTGGGTGTGGGGGGTGTAAGTATTTATTATTATACTGTAAAGACTGGTTAAACCCAGCTGGGTGGTCTTGAAGCAAGGGAAGAAATGATCGTATTATATCAGTTCCAAAATGGTAGGGATAGTTTGCTGCCTAAAAGAAAAGCCTCGAAGAGATAAACGAACAGATGGTTTGATGCAGTAAGCGACGTTGGCCTTTTTTTAAACACACACAAAGTGGATCGACCATGGAATTAAATTACAAGAAAGAAAAAAAAAGATAGAGATAGAGATAAAGAGATAGGTCATCATATCTTGTACGTACATAGCTATATAGCTGATGAGAGAGAGAGA